TCGAACTTAAGATGTCCTTTAAGAATATTTACAATTATAAGACTTCTGCCTATAATACATAAAAACTAATAACTGATAATTTGAACAAGAATGATTATTTTTCAAACTAAAACAACTATATCAAATGATTCAGCATTTAAATAATTCTAATTTCATCTATTCTTAAAATACTGAATACATAAAATATAAGCAAATAAGTACCTCAACAATAAAGGAAAATTGCTCATCAATTACAATTCCAGTCTTCATTAGTAATGATGTAAACTTTGCTTATTTAACTTAATCTATTTATGTTCTTTATGTGTGTCAATTTTATTTATTAATGAATTAAAATTATGAGAAGTATGATGACAATTTCTAAATGATCCAAAAACTTGAAGAACGCAAAATTAAACAAATATTTTCTGATAATCTTTCGTTGTCGACACCTGCATTTATGAACACATAGCGCAAACAGACGGATATTCAATATATTCATAAAGAAAGAGCCATCATGGATGTGCGTTTAACCAATGTCATTTAGCTTGACCTTTGTCAATTCCATTATATCGAAGTGCCGTTATTTGGTCACAAAAAGCCTCTTGTAATTTGTACAAATCATGATAAATAGTAGATTTCTAATTCACCGATTAAGCCAAAATGAAATTTTACATCTCAAGTCACACCATAACTCCAAACAGGTTTAACAATGAGGAATCTTTCGAAAGGAAACAAATTCTTAGATATACAGAATAGGGTGAGCACATACTCTTCGCCCAACGTTGTTTGTATCTGGCAATCTTTTCTCAATAAGCAACCACGATTTACGCCAAGGCTTCATTTGGAATTAAACCGTAATAGCAGTAGAAAATGGAAACGGAATCCAAATTAAGACCATCCACAGGTTATCAATTCACAAGGTCATCTTAATTCTTCTTCACAAGGAAACCATCCAAAGATATGATATCGCTAAACAAGAATATTGAATAATATTAGCCTGACAAAATTAAACTTTAGCAGAATCTAAAAAGGGTTCAGTCAGCTCGGAAACTCTCAGAGACTCTGCATAAAAAAAAGCAAATCTTCGAGGAAAAGAAAGAAACCTTAAAGGAGCGCTTTGAGTTCCAAGAGAAGAAAAAGATATTGAAGGAGATCATTCTCTACAGAAATAATATTGATATCTTTCTAAAGGTCCAATAAAAGTTGTGGCTTCAGAATCTCTATTTCATTTAATTGGTGTCCATCATCAAAAAGAGATATTATGTAAAAACGATCCATCTAATCTTTAGGATAATATCATATTCCAATTTAAGTCGTCAATTAAAAAAAGAAGACAATATAGAGTCAGAAAGGTGTTATAAAAGATGTTGCAAAAGTCTGGAAGAGATATATTTCAAAGAACTCTTTTCCAAGGCCTTCTGATATTAAGAATGTTATCGAAGGTTAAGGAGAAGGGGGCGAAAAAGAAGGCAAAAAGGATTGTGCATACTTTTATGATGAGTTATGGGTAAATTGGAGAGATCTTTTAGAAAACTTATCAATTTAAGAGAAGAATGAGGAAGATCATCGAGGTTTATAGGAATTATCGAAAGAGGGTCTAAGCGTATGCCAATAGGATCATCATGCTTTGGAATAAGTATTGGAATCAAATTTACATGGAAATAAAAAAGGAAGATTAGGAAAGTAATTATCATGTTGATTTCTTATTTTAGAAGTAAAATAGATCAAAATGTAAATGTAAAAGACAATAATTAACTACCATATTGAGGAGGAGATTGTGAAATCACCGTATTTAGACATGTATATTCATATTTAAAATTGTTAGTAAGGTATAAGGTGTAATTGTAAATAACTATTATAAAGAAATAAAAAATTTATATGTAAGGAAATGGAGGGTATTAAAAATTAAAGTGAAGTCATCTAAGTTTTAAACTTTGATGGCCACTTAAGCATTTGATAAGAAGAATGAATTATTATTATTTACTATTGTAGATAAAAGTGTTTTAAAATAATTAATCTATAAGTATATGTAAGAAAAGGGGATGATATAAAGTTTATTATTAAAGAAAAATTGATTGTATAATAAATTTATATATGTAATCTTCATAATAATCATTCTGTCTTGATCTTCTTCTTTTTGGTGCAGTTGTTCTTTTTAACAAAGGCTCTTAGGACTCCAACCTTCTCATTCTTATGCTCATTGAAATTGAATCCAAATTTTCTGCCGTATCTAATTTACAACAAATAGTCGTCCAAACTCTTTTTTGAAATATTGACCTTTTATGCAGCTTCTTCTAGTGTAAATCGTTTACTCTCTCCATCAATCATGATGCCCTTGAGTAGAGATGAAATCTTACACTGTAGTATTCCCTCCATTTCGAAACCTTCTCTATGATGTATCCAATCCTTCTTTCCTTTGTTCTTCTGCATTGTTTCTAGTTCTCCTAGCCCTGCTGTTAGAGATTCTATTGATCGTTGCCATCTTGTTCCTTCATTTTATTGACCTTCTCGTTCATTTCCTCGGACATGACTAAATGTATAAGGGAAATGGCAGTTTAAAGGCATTTGATCCGTAATTAATTGTTTAATTTGATCTCCTCAAAGGGAATCACATATGAGCAATGAACAGGATCCATTCCACAATTGATATACATTTCACAGTCGTAACTATAGTAGGCTATAGTGCGGCCTTCCAATTAAATTCCTAATTCTTTGAGTTTGTGTGTCAATTTGAAAATATTGATCCCATTTGGTTGGATCATCTTACCCAAATCAAATGAAGGGAAGTACTCTATGTAAGTTGATGAGTTGTCTTTGGCATCGATCATCTCAACGTAGAGCTTAATCTAAAGATAAATGGATAAGAAACTAATGGATTACAGACATTTGCTGCATATTTATTTCACGACTACTTGTTGAATTTTCTTCGCTGCTGTTATCAGACATATATTCTACGATTATTTGTTTGTTAATTTATTATTAGTGCTATATATTATTGAATTTAGAGTATATGAATGCAAAAATGTAATAATTTAATTTAGAATTTATGTTCAAGATAATAAATTTAGTCAATGCTCTGTATAGACATTTTCATTCTCTGTTTCATCTTTGGGTACATACAAGTTAATTTCAGGTGGGTCAACATCCATCAATTATTGTTCCTGCTAATCCTACTTATACTGCTTCTTTATCATGGCTTGAGCCTTCAAAAACCATCGCTTATAATTCGCCTATTGTTCTTGCCATTCCTGTATGGCTGGAAACAAGTACGACAAGAGTTCCTTGGTGAAAGATTTCTTGATGTTCTCTTCCTTGCTCATCCGATGATAGATTTTCAACTTTTTCGGATTTTGATTATCATCTCTCCGACTCTTCTGACTCTTCTCTGAATTCAACTCAACCGAATTGTTTCTGTTCGAATGTCTCGACTTCCTCTTTTCATTAATCTTCTTGTCTTGATCAATATCAGCCAACAAATCATTCAAATTGATTATCGAACTGATGCTCCTATCAAACAGGAAGATTTCATTTTAATCATAATTAGACACATTGTTCTCCTTCGCATTGTCATGAGACTAATCAATCGACTTCTCGTCCTCCCTGATGTCAGAACTGTAGAAGGGGTCATTCAAACTGAATGTCAAACTAATATTAGATCTCTGCTGCTTTTCAAATGAGATGTCGATCTAATCATGTCTTGGAGATTCCATCCTCTTGAATTACTACTATTGATATTTCTTTTATTGCTACTTCTTCTTCATCAACTTTAGTTTCAACGATTTAGCCTCCAACTGCAATTGAAATTGGCTCTCCTGTTGTAGATTATGCTATGCAATCTTCCTCTTGATCTTCAACACCAACTCAATCATTTGAGAGTATCTGATGTAAATGAGATGATTCAACAACTTTGCCTTCTCCTCAACCGTGTACTTCTACTTCTGCAACTTTATACACTCGAATTCTTTGTAGATGTCTCTTATGCTCTCCTGTCTGTAATTACGAAGACGATGCTGTATCCTGTATATCAAGAAGTGTTGAAACACAAATCGAACTAGTTTGCTCCAAAACATGAAAAACTTGAAAAAACAATTATCAAATATGTGATCGCTGATTTCCTTCTAGATTTCAATGGGCATCTAAGGAAATATATTGAATATCAATTGGAGTGCCTTACTGATTGAGGAGGCATGTTGGCCATCAAAAATCATGAACAGACCCTTCATCAGGAATTGATAGTTGAAATCAGTGGGAATCTTCTTATTTTATTTCTTGATTATGTGGAACCAATCGTTGATCATATCCAGAGTGTAGAACACTGCTATTCCATCATACAATTTGGTTTTGTGAAATATCACTATGACCAAATAATTGAGCATGTTCTCATTCTCCAAAATACACAATGAAGCATGTTTAATAGTCTCTGGATATGGATACTCATTTGAGTATTTGATCTCCAACAGTAAGTATTTAATCAAAATCAGATAGCCAGGAAAGCCTGACCATGTTAAACTCATATCATAGGGATGTTTTGCTTTCTTGTAATGGTTCAGCATTAATTAAAACCACTTCAAAAACACTCTACTTGTGAGTATGATGTTCTTCCAATCAATAGAATTAAGTATACCTTATAACTGCTTCTTGTGTTCCTGATGCCGAGGATCACTTTGCAGGTAATCGTAAAAGTTCTTATCCCATTCAGCTGAAAAAGTGTTATCAAAACAATATATTCCAAAGTCTTTCTCGAATTCCTCGTTCAAAGAACGTTGATCCTCCTTTAAGATGTCAATAACTAAGTTCTAGAACTAAGGGATCCTGAAAAAGGCAATGACCAAAAATGTGTTCACAAACAATTCTTCTTTATCGTTTTAGCCTTATTAATTGAGTTTCTATGCCACCTTCTCAAAAGTCTGATGTAAGAAATTCTAATAATGCAATCCTATTCTAATTTTCTAATTTAGTTGCTATATAAGTTTCTTGTTCTTAGATACGTAATTTTGATCGTTCCTCAAGAGGTAAGTTTCCTTTAGGTCCTTATCGAAACCCAAGTAGCTGATGAAGAACTCGTCTCTATTCAGTAAAGTGATAAGCACATCATAATATTGATCTCTCAAGTCTTCGTCAATTAAATCAGCACTTTCCAATAGATTCTTTGTTACATCCACAAAGACCAATTGAGCAGCTATCATTTCCTCAAGATTCTCGTATAATTCCTGGTTTTTAATTAAGGAACTCAACTTTTCAATAATCTGATTAATAGCCTTATTGATCTTGACTCTCTCCCTGTGTTGAAGACTCTTCTGATTCAACTTCCCAGCCAACTCATCTATTTCGTTATTAATTTGTATGATTTGATAGATGTTTGGACTCTAGGGTCCTGAATATTTATCCTTTTTGATGTAGAGCAAGGAAGATCTATGAATGCCTTCTTCTGTTCGAAATCCTCCTAACATCTGTCTAATGAAGGTATCCTTGGTTATGATGAATTCTGCTTTGACTCTCCCAACACATTAGCCATGGATCCACAATTTATCAGTGAATCTCACTTCTTGGAGGGATATTCTGTCCAATTCAGCCAAGACGTTAACATTTTAACTGAAAAATTTGTTAAGGGATATGATGGAATTTCCAATTTTCCTTACACTTACATTATCTGATTTTTCGTTTGGTTTTGAACTTCCCCAGAGGATGAATTCAAAGGAGGAGCTGGAAAATTCATCAACATAAATATCAAAGGATATGATGGGATTGTTTTCTTGTACTTTGAATTCCCAGAGCAAATCCTTCTTGGTGATCAAATCCATAGTTGAGTAGGGTCTTCTGGAATTCAAAGATTTGATGGTTTGGGATTAATTGGTCGAGAGATGGATCATCGTGCTGAGTTGGTTGTTGGATTTGGATTTTTTGAGGATCAAATCTTGCTCGTTCTTGAGTCCATTCTTCTTCAAGTAGCAACTCTTGAGATCGGCCTGGATGTTTTCATCTTACGAGGAGTCGAAGATGTCTCTGACCAATTGGAACTCGTCGGATTCACTCCTCAGCTTCTCTTTGGAGTCGATGTATCCGTATTGTTTGATTGAGGATTAACGGTACAGGTAGTGATTGAGGTAGTTGGGAGAGAAGTCGCTGTAGTAATCCACTTGATGAGACTTGATGATAATGATGAATGTGGTACTCTGACTTTGAGTTGAAAATTGTAGGCTTGTTCCATCAATTGGTCTTTGAGTTCGCACATGACTTGTTTGCTTTGGATTTTGAGGGTTGTCATTTGCACCATTCTCAAATCAAAAGTGATTCTGGAGGAGTTGGCCTGAGTGGATTCGAGAAACAAATCATAATGAATGGGACCGTTTGCAACTTCCCACATATTTTAAACAACATAAGCAAAACATCTATTTTTTTCAGCGCAGAAGACACTCTGAATAAATAAGAGTAGCATACAATTTTGAAGATTTCTGACTTCAAGGTTTCCAAATCACTTTCATGAAACGACCTAAACGTTTATCTCCAATGCGGGTTAGGATTATTGATACGAAATTTAAGTTTAGAAACATTCTTAATTTGCAATTGAAAAATGAACCTTAGCTTTTTTAAGAGGAATATTCTTGATCTTGATATTCGAAAATATGATCTTGAATTTAATCAGGGGTTTCAAGGAAGCAATCTCAGTATTGCTTTCCTTCTTTTCCTTCTTCAATCCACAACCCATATATATATATAAAATAAATAAATAAATATTAAATTATCGACTAATTCAATCTGACAACTCATCAGTATATGAGACTGTCTGCTTCTTCGATTTGTTGTTTCTCAATAGATCTTTGAATACGTCTCCCAACATCAGTTGATTGTAACCAGGTCCCTGCAACTCCACCCCATATTCGCTCTCATCATCTCCGATCCTTTCCAAGGGCAGGTTTTAGTCCTTCTTCCCAATCTGACTCTATTTCTCACAGAAGCCATAGACAGCCACAATAACCACCACCAAGATCAGCAGCAACAACAGAGATAAGATTGTATAAAACCACGCCAGACTATTCACCTAGCTGTCCTATTGAATCCACCCAATTTCAAATTATGCCTAGCAACTGGAGTAGGAATTGTATGCCGTAATGTTGAGGTACACGGAATGATCCTAATGGGATAAATGAGAAGATTCACATACTCTATCGTCATTTGCAGATTGTATCGGGTAATACAAGTAATAGCCATTCTCAGCATACAGTATCAGATCAATCAGGAAGTAAGTGCTATTGGTGATTAAGAGGTGTGACTTAGAGGTATTGGCTTGGGCATCAGATTAATACAATTGGATTTTTTGGAAATGCAACTCTTATGGATTAACCAAATAAGGTTCCAAGATTTCCACTGGTCTTGAATAGTTTCGACTATAGTTTCCTAAATAATAATTATTATAAATCATACTTATGAAAAGCGATGTATAAACTATGTTGGTATTTAACTCATTTAGGAGGTAAGTCATTTCCACCTAGACGGATTGATACTCAAATTGGTTGGATAAGCACTGACTTACGATGTAAAACACCGTATCGTTCTGATAGGAAAGCTCAATTTGTGGTCGAGACAAAAAGTTATGATGACATAACAAATATTAATAGAAAGTGTATTGTAATTTGGCTTGGAATGTTTGAACGTCAAAAGCAATCTCGAAGATTTAATTGTTGTTTCCGACTGACAAAGTCTGAGTCATATGGGATTCATTGACGACATGAGGTTGGAAATGATTGATGGCCTGAATGAACACAGCCTTTTCGAATCTTACGTAATCTTCATCATCTTAAAAGATCAGGTTTTAACCAGGCCCATAAGCAGGGAAACCATCTGTCAAATTAATCACCTATACAAAAATGTTGTTGGGCTGTAAGACTATTAAATACAATTATTGGATCGATTCCTATTGAATTACAGACAAGGCGAAATCTTCGGAATATTAAAATGGTTATGAATCGTTTTGATTTGGATAGGAATTATACTGAATAAATTGAATGGTTTGATTTTCGGCAAGAAGTATTTGATAGATTCCAAAATATGAATTCAATTGTTAATATCCAGTCCTGATCATCTAGTAAACTTGGTTGTTGTAGAGGAAAGGCTATAAGTCATTATAGTAACAAAAGCAAAACTACCGATTATTGGTTGCAAATGTTGGGATTGTAATGCTATTGTTCTATTTGGTGTAGAAATACTCCAAGTAGATATACTATTAGATGTTCTCTTTATTCTAGAAGGAAAAGTTATCGGCTAATTTATGAAAGTATTTTAATTGGCACACTATGATCAAGACATTCACTCCATTCAACTGCATTTAGCAAAACAAGAATGAATTGAATGGTTTGAATTAGCGATAATGGATCAATCTTATTGAACAAAAGGAGGAATTACTCGTTTGCTACCCTTGAGTGTAATCAAAGTAAATGCAGGATCTATTGGCATCTGGGATGGAGTGTTTTTGATAGAACAACACATAGTAGTCTGTCAACACGATAATTAATTCATCGTAATTATCGACTACATTACTGTAAATAGCTTACCATTATCAATGGTTTGATTAAACAAACCTACATAGATTTCATCTCCCACATCTATGATTTGAGTAATCTCTCCAAACTCAGATACTTCATTCATGTAACTCCCCAGGTATTTATTCATCTGTAGATATGGCGATGGAATGATTGACAAGTTCTCCTAATTTGAGGAGTGATTATAGGAGGCAATCGGACCATTGAATATGGATTACTATCAAAATCAATTCGGTATTTTTACATTCACCAAGAAGAGGTACTGATAGAAACCACCTGCTTCGATGTACTAGTCCTGATTGATGACCACCTTGTAGGTTTCTGAAGAATCATAGGCAAAAGAAATCTGGGTGCTAGTGAAATTGTAGACTAAGGTGTAGTTTCTTATATTAGTATTCTATGACATACCTGAACATGGTTTTAGTCTTTTAAGGTTAAAAGACTCCGATTACCAACACGAATGGGGAATTGTTGTACACAGGGATAAATTAGGATTGCAGATGGAATATGAATTCTGCCTTCTAATTCAGATAATAGATTTCGAACTTCTTCTCCGTTATGATGAGTGTCAAACTGATGGAGGATCCTGCAATTAATGAATCCATTAAGTTGCTTATCGGATAGGTTATCTAATAATTGATATGGTAGTAGAATATACAATTGATTCATTCTTCTTCTTCTCAATTTCAATCTTCTCAACCAGAGATCTGGCAGTGTAGTCTTCCAAATTGTAAATGTAGTAATTTTGAAAATAATCATTGTACACACTCTTTGTTATTACAGGCACATACAAGATCAAACCAGATATCAGAATGGTTTGATTACTCAAAATAGTGTCATAATGTGGAAGTCTTCTCCAAAAATTGATTTAATTGATATTAGTAATTATGTACTACAAAATATAAGGTGTAAAGTTGCCATTAGCATTTTCCTAGCAATAAACAATCAAGTATTGTTTTGCCAACTTTGATTAGAAATATTTCGTAATTTCAAATCCTAAGTAATTATTGTTCTGACATTCTGGTATGTTAAGCACCACATTCGTCAAAGTAGAGGTAAAATTGTACAATTTAACATCCCTCGTCGAATTGCTTGGACCTGGAGTATAGACTACAATTTGAGAACTAGAAAACAAAATGAACAAGGTTTGTTAATTAATGTAAGTGTATCTGAAGGAAACTATGACATTTTGAGTATCTAACAGGTTGTAAAGACTGGAGTTGTGGTATGTGATACCTGGATTTACTTAACTAGGCAACTACAATATCAGAATTTATGACTTACAAAAACATCTAAAACATAGAAGTACAATTTGGTTAAGGTGGAATTGTAAAGAATAGTAAAAAAGTAGGACACTCTCTCATTTTTTATTGGTCCCTAAAGAATAACTAATTATTTGATTATATCCCCGGGTCTTTGCATGTCTGTGATGTTCTGACACCTTTCACTTCCTCCAAAGGTCTATATCTTTTAGCATATAACGATACTAATGAGATCAATAATGAAATGCTTACATCGAATCCTGATACTACACTGCAATATCATAGTATTCAAATTATTTGTAGTAATTGACTTCATTCAAGTATTTTTGCAGGTCTCTGTATCTTCCTTCTGTGCACTACTGTATTTCAATATCTATTGGGAATTGCTTCTCAAAACTTTACTAAAAATAGGATGAATACACAATTGTTACATATTCCTTAGCATTTATGATACAAGTCTTGTTGAAGATGACTGCCTTTACGGAGTCTAATTTCTTTAGTGATGGGTCTTTGCCAATATCGGAGTATGTTAATAGGATCTCCACAATCCCAAAAATGTTTGAAGTTATGAACACATTCTTATTCACAGCACTCAACACATTAAAAACCGATCTTGTCTGATTGTGCTTTTCGTAAAACTGGTTTTGTTTAATAACTGCCTTATGATTTTGATAGTAGGGATAGAATCTACTGATATTGTAATTGGGAACGTAGTTGAAGTTTAAAAATGGCCCCATTATCTACGTAATCTCAATGAAACAATTACCCCTTCAAACAGGTCGATCGAGTTTATGATTTCTTGGAATACATATATGTCCTTACTGATAGGACATTATGTTAGACTCTGCTGCTCCTTCTATTCAAGCTTGTGTATTTGGGCAATCAATTGGAAACTGCTATCTTCTAATTTGATGAAACATAAAATGATGTATCTGGGAAAGGTCACTACATTGTAATGGTAGGTGTCCTAGAATTAATCGTACACAAAGTATCCGCCTGAAATGTTAAATGAAATCTATGAGATAATTAAGATGAGTTACAATGACCGGTGCTATCTATTGATTGTAGGTTTAGGCTAGGTTGTCTTATCCCAATAAATAGGATACGTTCAACTGTCTAAATATTAAATGATATGTGTACTTCTCAAATAAGGTAATGATATTGAGTTTCTTATTAAAAAAGTTATACAACAGGATGAAATTTCCGAAGTCTATTTAATTGAGACTCTAGAAGAAACTCTGAAATTAATTGAAAGTGTCTGATTAATAATACACCGTTTTGTATTCGGCATTCAAGTAAAAGATCTTCAAGATGTTCTTGGTTTCTCCGGATGCCTGTCTAGTGCAGTATAAGTTGGGTTTGGAATAGAAGGGGGATATCTGCTGAGCAAAGGGAGAGTCAGTCATAATCACAGCCAAGTATTGACTGGTGATGGACATGTCAACTAACAAGTAACCAGGCTCAAAGATCTACTTGTAACTGATGGTAAAGAAGTTTTCAGATTGATACGACCTTTCCAAGTAGATAACGAGAATAGCAATGTTGGTTCCAGTGACTAGGACCACCTCGTCATTCAGATTTTGGACCATTCTGATTTGGTTTGGCTGATAAACTATAAAATATCAAAGTGAATACGCTCAATCAAAGTACTATTGCATTTGATGTTGTAATGGGATGTATACACTTCCTGGACGTTGCATTTACAAATAGTCGGTGATGACTAGAACAAAAACCCAATATTCCATGTGGTGTTATCAAATCCATTTATCAAGGAGTTTATGAAGATCTATTCAATCATGGAATTGTCATCCATCTTGCAGGAGTTTAAATCAGTGATGTTGGCCTTGAAGGCATCCAATTTGAGAGTTCTGTTGTGGCGAGTCAATCTATCATGGTAAATTATTAGGAAGTCATTTGTGATTGCCTTCTGATTAAATAGACTTGGACAATACTGTAGGAATTCAAATTTTATCTCATTGGCCACATCCATGATGTTGACATTGATGGTTTTTCTGAATTGGCATTTCTTGAGGAAATTCTCGTTGTCCTCGTCATCGTAGCTATAATAATAGTAGTCGTTGTATGTGAAATTGACTATTATCTACGTTTTCTCATCGAAAACTAGGTCGAAGATAAGGAGGGTAGCATTATTATTGATGTTGCAATCCAATCCGAATTGATTGTTCTTTCTTAGTTGGAATATGGAATAGCAGGAAATATTTTTAAAATTCTCATTCAAACTTGGTAAATCTCTGTGCAATTTGTTTTAAACTTAGACTATTTTATCTTTGGTTTAATTATAGAAGAGGAGATCTATTGCTGTTTGACTCAGGTAGAAGCGAGCCGGTTGGTATAAGGGTCCCCATTCATCGACTGGGCAAAATGCTTGCCTAAGATGCATCAACACTTTCTTACTCTATGGATTCCGACGAGGTTTCGATAAAAGGAGTGATTTAGAAGGACAAGTTTTGGTTTGTGGAATTTACATCATTAAAGCTAGTGTTTTCTAAGACATCCTTAGAATTGAATAAATCAATTGTGTATGATTCATAATAAGGAGCTATCACAAAAACTGGGGAATTCTTATTGTAACTAGCATTCATTCATAACTATTACAAATCAGTCAAAATCACTTTGCTCTCATTTCTATTCACACACAAGATGCCTATTATAAAATTTAAGAAAATTAGAATAAGCATATTAAATTTTTATTAAAAATACACTAATATGAGTTTCTATTGGACATCAATTGAGTAGCAATATGATGATATTCAATTTAATAATAATAATAATAATGATAGTGATTAAGGGATTGGTCTCGGATGACATTAATTGTTAATCCTTTTTACTTGAATGTTTACAATAGAGCATAAGTTTTTATTTACAATATTATGAATATAAAATCCAATAAGACAAATCACAAAAACAAAAAGCCTGCTTAGAATGCCATAACTTCCGATTCTCTGGATATCACCTATATTTGTCCCAGGATTCTTGCTATGTCATTTCCAGGGGATGGGAATCCAGCTTACATCAATAAGATAGACAATGTAAGGAGCAACAGAATTATCATTAGGTTGCACAATATTTGCAATAACGACACCACAATGATTATCAGATATATAATTTGAGTGGGATACAATATGACCACACCAAGTTCAAAGGAAGAATTTACACTTTTGTATGCGATGACTCTTATCATATTAGCCATGGGAAGAGAAGTCTGCGCCCAATTTGGGATATTTGTTCATGTTGTGTAAACACATTGATGATTTTCTGTCATGTATGTTAACAGTCTATTCTAAGCCAAATTATCGAATGTGGTTGCTGTGCATTGCATTAATGGAATCGGAAGAACTGGAACTGCAATTTGTTGTTATCTCTTATACAGTGGTCGTTTTTCAAATGCCGAAGAAGCATTGTTCTACTATGATAAGTAGAAACACTTGAAGGGAGGGGGAATCACTATGCCATCATAAATCAGATATGTGTAGTACTTTGAGAAGTTCCTTTAATCAGTTAATCATTAGAATACTGTTCCAAAGACACATCCACCCACCTATCAAGTACTTGACTTCTATAGTGATACACGGGATCCCAGACATCTAAGACAAACAATGCAAACCTTTCTTAGAAATTTACACTTATGAAAACTCGTGTAAGACCTTGAAATACACTGACAAATTGGAGGTATCTTCGATCTAAATTTAGTATAAAGATTAAAAGAAAGCCAAAGATTTGCTTTTAAAAGATATCGAACTAATTAGGATTAATATTGGGAAACCTTTTTTGGCTATTGGAGACATAATGATTAAATTTAATCATAATGGTATTATAAAATACAATAATGAGGCCAATTTGAAGTGGAACCCATGTTTCGAGTTTCCTTCAATACTGCCTTTGTGGAAGACAAGTTACACTTATTTTCTATTTAATAGCAAATTGGCTTTCAGGAATGAAGATTTGGATCCTTCGAAATTACAGAAGGATGACAGGTTTCCTGCTGATTTGAATGTTGAGATTTAGTTTAAAGAATTCTGTAAATGCACCAATGAAATATAATTTAATTAAAGGTGTAAAAGTTGCTCCAACTTGTCCAAACAACTTTGCCCCGATTGGGAACTCATTTAGAATATTTTGAATGACTACACCAAGCACAGTCTAGAGGAGTCTTAGATTCTGTTATTTGGAGATGCTGCATTCGACAATCTCAATCAAGTTAAATATCAAACATGTAAAGTAATACTCTAGGGATTTTAGTTTAAGGAGGACGTGCTCAATCTGATATTATTAAGGATGTTGATGATGATTTTTGAATAAATATATATATCAGAGATAAGATTGTTTATTAATCAAGGGGATTATCATAATTACCCAATGGACATCATTTATTAAATAAAAATTATATTAAATAATTAATTCAAATTTCAAACTCGTTCTTTAAATTCTAAAAATAATCCTTCATTAAGACAAATTTATTAAATTACTTCTGAATGTATTCATCATCCTTGATTTATTGACATGATTTTATCTGCTATATTGTGGGAACTATATTCTGCAATTGCATCTTTGCCTTTATTATCATGTCCGTTGCCTTTGCATCCATTCTTTAGTCATACTCTTCCGATGATCTTATCTTTTTTATATTATAAAATAACATACTGAAAGTATAGTCTCCAATCGCTAATTAATTGATTTCAGATAAATGTTTTGCTTTACTAAACTTAAAACTTACTTATAGAATTCATTCTCCCTCAACTTGATATTCCATTCCAGAATTTGCTGTTTAATTTCACTCAAATCACACTTAAATTAAGCAATTTACTCCGAATAAATTTAATTAATTGTATAATTTTCAATCAAAAATTAATCAGTCTCCTCCAAAATCTAAAATAATTGTTCATATAATTTTTTGCTTTTTATGTACTTCCTAGTTTTTGAATTCGTATTCAATAAATAATGAATGTTGAAACTGTATTAAAAATAAGCCAACTTGATAATTTGTTCTTTCCATCTTTAAATTTATTCAATTTTATGGTCAAATATTTAACTTAGTAATTTCCCATCAGTCAATTCTTGTGTTTTTAGAATCTAATCCCTTAATTATTCAATTTTCTCATTAAAAAGTGTACCAATATTTTCTAGAGTCGGAGGTTTTTTGAAACTCCTAATCAATTGTATGTCGTCTTTGAAATACTCAAAGCCGTCTTTGTTTATAAATTTAAATGCATCTAAATATATTCGAAAAGTTTAAAAGGTTTGATTCTGCTTCTCAATCAAGTGTAATTTCTTCTTTACTCTATAATAATAGGGTTCCTAAAATCATAATTAAGTATACTTAGATCCTCATTCTCAAAAATCTATAAAAACTTTCCTTAATTTTGAAATAATCGTCTACTTTAGTTGACAACAAATCAGAATGCTTCTCAAAGAATTAATCCACCTTGCAAATATTGTCCTCCTTCATATCATTCTGTCCGAATTTTAACAAAGCGTCCAAATCTTATCCATATTTTCTAATTGTAAAGACCAAGTTCTTGTAATCTTTGCTTAATTCTAAATAGCCAGAAATCATATATTTTTGATCTATTATTTCAGGATTATTCAATTTAAATTTCTTCATTTTCTCTTCCATTTTCATGAATGATTGTTACATAGAAGAAGTACTTGAAATTGATGAAACGGACCTTTTTCTTTTTAATGAAATTTGGTTTTTCTTAATTTGCTATTGATAAGCAATCCTATGATAGCCATTATCTTTGGTTTGCTTCCTGGAACTCGCTTATGAATTCTGACGAATAGTTATAGTATTGTTTCTACTCTAATTATTGTTTAAGTTAGTTTCTGAGACATTTCGAGTAGGCATTTTAGATTATTAATTTGATGGAATAGGATTAGGAATGTATAAATCTTTGGTGGATTGCTTGTTTATATGAAACAAATCCATCATATCCATACATTAGTTCATTATTATTATTATAATTATTACTATGATGAAATATTATCAACTTTCTATGATGGCACATAAACCAATTCATAACTCTCTTGCAAGTACTTTTCATCATCATTCTCGTCATTATCCTCCACAACCTATTCAACCACCACTTTTTCAGCTGGATAGTTCCGTCTCATATCCTTTCTCCCTCTATAAAAGTTAGCCATCTATTCTTCCTTCTTTCTCCTTCGCTCAATTATCTGCTTCTTCTTCTCTTCATCCTTCTAATTCGTCTGCCTCTATTCCCTACAATGGTAATTCATAAAATTTACTTTTTCTTCAAATTGATCTTCTTTTCTGCATCCATAAAATCTTGTTTAGATTTCATTAGGAATTGCAACTTATATTCTGACAGTTCCAAGACTACCTTTTCGAGTTACTAATCATTAGACTTATTCATATACATTTAATGTAAATTTAAGCATCTTTGAATCGATCCCTAGTTTTTTTATTAACGGATCTTACTCCTTCTTAGAAACATCTGTATAGATCTCTATTATTCTTTTTCCTATCTTATCCATATCTAGATTCTCTCCTTCTGCAAACTCCAATTTATTTTAATCCACTTTTTCTTATTTTTTCAATTCCTGCTGATATTGTTAATGCATCACGTATTGTTTCTCTAACACTTTGAATCTCTACTCATTTTCCTTCTGATGAATCGCCAATATCTCTCTTAGATGCTAAGCCTCTCTCTTCTTTTATTCCATTTCCTCTTCAGCATCCCTCTGATTCTGCATATTTCTTAGATTTCCCTCCTCAATTGCATCCAAAATCTCGATCACTGTATCAGCCATCTTATTCTGCTTATATTCAAATTGCAATTACTCCAATTGTTCCTTTGATCTTGTCTCAGATTCCAAAACATTCACCCCAGTCAAAAACAAAGTTCTTTTCGTAGTAGAAGTACTTTATGGTAAGGTGATATCCTTTTCTAAATCTGCAAATTTGGTTTTGTAGTGTTGCTATAATAATGTAATGTGTGCATTACTTTGATTTTTTCCAAAAATTATCTATATTTATCTAGTTTATCGTATTCATCTTAAAGCTTGCTTTTCTATAACTTCAATCTATCAATTTAAGCCAATATTCTAGCAACATCAACTTTGACCTCTTCCTTCCTTCTCACCTCTTTGTCAGCTAAAATTGCAGCTTAATCTGCTTGAGACTTAACTTCACTCATAAATCTCTTGACCAATTCGCAATCGTTTTTGAAGTATAACTTTCGAGCTCTCAACGATTCCTACTCATTCTTAATAAAATCCTCAAGTCTATTTGTCTCCTCTTTTTTTGTTAAAATATTTAGATTTGTTAAACAAATCTCTCTTTTCTTTTCTACAAAATCCTAAAGAGTTTCTTTCTTCTCACTCAAAATACTCCTTATTTTATAACCTTTCTATAAAGAATCTTAATAATTTTTTTCGAGCATCCTAGGATTAAATTGTTTCAAATGACATGAAATCGGATCTGGCTTCACATTAAAACTTTTTGATTTGAAATCCTAAGAAAACACATGATCTCTCTCTACTGCCAATTTCTCAGCTTAAGCTAGATAAAATAAATTTACTCTACTCTTCTAACTTTCTCAATAATCCATATCTACTTGCAGATTTACCAATATAAAGTTAAGTTAATCTGGTCTGCTATTTCTAATCATCCTCCTCCTCTATAGCATTTCTATCGTATTCCAAAGAATTAGTAAACTTCTTAGGATCCTTCTCAAATTAAAATGGATTATCAATCATATATTATAATAAGTATATAAACTCACAATTACTTTTGCCTTTTTTCAAATATTCTCTTTATCAATCCTCTCACTCATAATACTCTAAGTATTATTGTATATCCATAGAGAAACCCTGATTTCTTAATTTATTTATTGTAATATCGCCAACCTTAAGTGTGTTTATCTTTTAAAGTATAATTTTTGAAGGGGCACTATTTAATTGATAGAACTAGGGAATCTTCATAAGTATGAAATTTTTATAGTCCCTTTAAAGGCGATTCCATTCATTAATTGCTAATTGCTTTTTGATTTAAACCATATTTATTATGTGATTGCAGAAATCTCCAATTAGATAGAATTATTATCTTTCATTTATTATAAAAAATTCTTTAGCTCTATTACCAATCATTACAGTATAATTAATATTTAATAGCGTAATAAAATCAATAATTTTGTCTTTAAAAAATAAATTAGATAATTTAATTTGTGAATTTAGGAAAAAAATATACATTTTGACTTTTTTACCATATTTCATAGTAATGGGTATCTCCTCATCGCTTATATTAGAGTGCTAAAATTTATTCATTCAGAGAGTCAATCTTTAAAGCTTTAAATTTATTTTTCTTAAAATTTGTAACATATCTAAATAATTTATAAATTTGCTATTTTTTACAAAATTATAAAAACTCAGTAAAGTATTTAAGTTGGACCAGCTGAGTGATATTTATATTAAAGAACTCAATTTAAGAAATTATAGATTATCTAGATAGAAGAATCTGTGGAATGATTATTAAAATATATTAATACTTCTTTTATATCATTATTTAATTTCTTTTATTTTCTTTGTTAACTCTGGCACTACTTTAAACAAGTCATCAACAATTGTATAATCAGCTACACTTACAATTGGAGCCTCTTGATCTATAAATTTTATTAATATTAGAATACCTTTATTGATAGCAACGATGACTTTAGAATCTTTCATTCCAGCCAGATGCTAAATAGCTCCTGAAATTCCTACAGCAATGTATAATTCAGGGGCTACTACTTTTCCTGTTTATCCAACTTACTAATCATTTGCAGCATATCCAGCATCAACTGCAGCTCTAGAAGCACCAATAGCTGTATTTCCCAAAGCATTTGCTAATTCATCTAATATTTTGAAATTTTCCTTGCTTCCCAAGGCTCTTCCTCCTGAAACAATCTAATAATGAATACTATAAATACAAATTTAGCAGTAGTTAATTCTGGCTTATCGCTTTATACTAATTCATCAGAAACATGCTCAATCAATTATTTTGTATTCTCAACCTTTACTTACACTATATTTGTCACTTTTTCACCAGTTTGTTAAATCTAATTATTATATAATCACATACTTCTTCAAAATTTGTAGGTCTAAATGAAATGAATTTGACTTTGTCACTTGATTTCACTTGAGCTATTGCATTTCCTGCATAAACAGGTCTCAAAAATACATCGTTATTTATCGCTATAACATCAGTAATTGGCTAAGCTGCATATTTAACGGCAACTCTAGGTAAAAAGTCTTTTGCTAAAGTAGAGGTGCTTGTAACAAAATTGGTGAATCCATGTTAATCAATCAACTATTTAACCAAATTGCCTAACACATCTGCTTATGGTGCTTTGAATGAATCATGTTGCGCTACTAGCACTTAGTGTACAACATTGCTGGGTATTGAAGATTTGATTTAATCAACCACAGAGTTGGCATCATTGCTTGTTACTAATAAAGAGATCTATTAATTCAATAGTTTGGCAGCATTTAAGATTTTAAGAGTTGACTTTGATAATTTTCCACTTGAATGATCAGCGAACACAAGAGTTGAAAATTTTCCACAATTTCTTAAATGATTCATCATCAAATTAATTTATGTATTAATTTCTTATGTATACTGTTAATTATTAACATATATATGTGGTTTATTCTAATACAGAAAACTTAAAAAATTGATCTAATTTTACTATAGGAACTTTCATCGATTTAAATTTTATTATACTATTCCATAATAGAATTTATAAAAACAATCAGAATATAAATTAAGAGAATAAACCAACTTTATTATTTTAAATAATGAGCAAGCATCCAATTCAGAATTATTAAATTTTAAAGGTCATTGGCAAGGTACTTAGAATTATTAAACATTTTCCTAGGGAGCATTCGCTATAGTTTATCAAGGTTAACATCTAAAAACTAAGGAGATAGTAGCGATCAAATAAATTAGTACAGACATGTAAGAAGGTCCCCATAAAAACAAAATGTTAGAGCTGTTTAACTAAGAAATTCAAATTATGAAATCCATTAAACATTAAAACATAGTATAATTGAAGGAAGTACAATATACTTCTGATTCAATTAATATGATACTTGAGTATTGTGCTCTTGGTGATTTAGAAAAGTACATCAAAAAGAATTCTGCAAAAAATAGATTGCCTGAAAATGAAGCTAAACCTATTATACTATAATTATTGGATGCTATGAAAATATTGCGTTTAAAAAATGTCGTTCATCGAGATCTCAAACTTGCTAATATTCTCATAAATGAATAAATGTAAATAAAATTAGGGGATTTTGGATTTGCTAAATCAGTAACTACTGATTTACTTGAATCCTATTGTGGAACTCCGATTACGATGGCTCCGGAAATACTTAAGTATTAATTTTATAATAATTCTATAGGAAATATGATAATTATGATCACAAATGTGATATTTGGTCTTTAGGCATAATGATTTATTAAATCCTTTATGGATAACCACCGTTTGTTTCAAAAAAAGGAACGGTCACAGATCTAATTAATGAAATTGAAAAATAAAATGTAACCATAAATAATATCAATAGATTAATTTTCCAGAATAACTTGGAATCTCTTCTGAATGCGTTGACTTAATACGCAAAATGCTAGTTGAGGATCCTAAAAAAAGAGCATCTTTTGAAGACATATTTAGACATCCATGGTGCCTAACAGAAGTTATTGATTTGAGAAAATCAATTCTATAGACTTATGTCCCACAACATCAAGAGTTTATGGTCAATTTATCTTTTACAGTTTAATAGTAAATTAGTCAGCTAGTCTCGATATCACGATTGATTTAGTCAATTGAGAATAAATATCAGGAATTTGCTGAGTATTGTGTTAACTTTCGAAGTGTTTTGTCTAATGCTTTCTCATCAGTTCAACTAAATATTACTTACTCTAACTAAAAGGTTTGCATTAAGCCAGAAAACTTCAAATACTTCAATTATTAATAAGAATTGCTAATATTTTTAGCTAACTTATATGAAACAGCTATTCAAAGTAAGAATAATAATATCCTTGATTTTCTTGATTTGGGTGTATAGGATTACTAAATATCAAACTATTTTTCAATTTTATATGAAGAATATACTGTGACCTTACTCGAGGAAATGAAAAATTTGAAATTATCTCAAGAAAAAAATAAAGGGAAGGCATTAACATAAATAGAGGACACAAGAGGCTTAAATAAATTTGTAAAATCAGATTTAAACACTTTAATTGAACTTATCAAAGATAGATTTAAGAATTATTGAATTAATATATAGTTAGTGTTAATCAAATTAATTTTACTGTTATGTTAAACATATATTTTTCATAAACTTGAACATTCAAGGCTAGGTTTTCATCATAAACTAAATAATTCAGGAATGTTCTTTCTTATAAATTAATTCTATAATAAATAAATTCTACAAATGCATAACTTAATCTTTTATTTTACATTAAAAAATTAGTCTTCCAAGAATAATAAAAAAAAGCAAATCTTAGAAAGTCTGTAAGTTAGAATAATTCTCCATTTCTTGGATGAAATATGTAAGATTTTTCTTCTTTCTTAATTAAATAAATTTAAACTCTTCTGAAGTTTCATCAAGATGGAATTCGATAGTATACTTTCTAATTCCAAATTGTTTTTTTTATATTTAAGGGTGATATATAATTATAGAGAATTATTATATAATATAAATAATGAAGCAGAAACCTCAAATTGAGACGAATAATGTTTTTGACATCTTGCAAAAAGCTAGTTAAAATCTGAAGAGTTAGAAGTTGGATCTCATTAACTCTGTTAGAAATATGTCGACCAAATCGAATTCCAATAAGAACATTTTTGGGAAGGAATTCTTAAAGCAATAATTTTGTAAGGAGAATCAACAAAAGAAGAAACAAATGTCAAATCTAGAGTTAGTAGCAGCTATGCAAAAGTATAATTAACTGCTGCAACAAAAGCGTGATACACCGACCAGAAATTATTCAAAAAGTTAATCGCTGTTAAATCAACTTGTCACTAAAGTAACTCCAAACTTAGAACTTAACATGTTTAAACAGTCTTCAAGATCTCCTATTGGCACAGACATAAGACCTCAAACTTCTGAATTGAAAGCTCCTACCTCTGTATAACACAAACGATAACAATCAATAGGTTCCAAAGATTAAAATTATAAAAAATTGTACAATGCAATGCTTCAGAAACCCAAGAAGGCTCAATCACATCAAACCACTCCTCAACATTCCAGATAATTGTCACTGCAGCAATCATAGTAATTATCTAATCGAGAATCAAAATATTTTGAAAGCATTAAATTTAATAAGGAAAACAAGGAAAATAGTCAATTTCAATATTATTTGGGCAAGATTAGATAGGTGTTTACTCGTCCTCTAAGAGACGATTATTTTAGCTGTATTTATAGGGAACATTTTTTTCAAACTTATTAAGGAATTTATGTTGCTTCATATCTCAGGCCAGTTGACCCCAACGATCTAAAGAAAAAGACAGTCCAATTAAAATAAAAGGAAAAATACAGAAGTATCATTAATCTTATTCAACATTAGATAAAATCTCTGTGATCTTTGATTTGGATGAAACTCTGGTACATTGTAATGAATCGTTACTATAAAAATCTGACATTGTTTTAAACATACAAGTTGGTCCAAATGAGATGGTTAAGGCTGGAGTAAATATCCGTCCAGGAGCTGTAGAACTATTGGAATCCTTAGTTGACGATTTTGAAATTATAGTCTTTACGGCTTCTCATTCATGCTATGCCCAATAGGTCTTAGATTATTTGGATCCAGAGAACAAACTAATCTCGCATCGTCTTTTTAGAGACAACTGTATTATGACAACAGGGGGTATGTACACAAAGGATCTTAGAATTTTTGATAGACAATTGAGTCAAATAGTTCTGATTGATAATGCTGCTTATAGTTATGCTTGGCAATTAGATAATGGAATACCCATAGTCCCTTATTATGATAATAAAGATGACCGAGAGTTGTGGGGCTTACAAACCTATTTATAAGGGATGATTGGTGTGCCTGATGTAAGAGAATATAATAGGTAATAATTAATAAATAAATTAATAGAGAGAAATTAAAGTTAAACTAATTTTTTGATTCCCAAGGACCTGCAAGTGTATTTGAAAAATTGTTTTAATAGAAAATTGAAATATGATTTTAGTTAATCTTTAAAAATTCAATACAGCCTTCTTCAGTAGACAGATTAATTGAGTTTCACAAACACAAAAGAAACTAAATATATATTTTATTAAGCAATATTTTAAAATTATATAATGAAGAAATATACGAGCAATTAATAACTGAGAAGATCAAATGGACCTGTGGGCAGGTATCGAATCTTTAAGCATACCGAAATAGATAGAGCTAATTTATTCGAGGGCTTACCTTATGTCTAATTTGATGCTTTCATAAGAAGAGGTAAGAATTATTGAAATTAATTTAGATAGGACTATGTAACATGTTGTCATTAGAGATTTACTAAAAATAATAATGGAAAAATGCAACTAATTAAAGAATTTGCTACTTGATAAGTTTCGACTCAAAAGGATTTTTTTATTAATGGATTTAATGGAACAGCCAAAAAAAAAGGGAATGTTTAATTAAAGATTGGAGGATACTATAGTTCTGATTGATTAGATAGGTTCAATCATTTTATAAGAATTCAAAAAGAACCCTGAGTAGATTGGACTTAAGTAGTCACCTATTAAACATTTATAAGAGCATAACCCAGAGCACATAGATCCTCATTAGGAAGAAAAAGTATATGATAAGAATGTGGATTTATTTAATGAGATGCTCCAATACTTAAGAGATCGCATAGAACTTTACATGTTAATGATGAGGTAGGCCGGCCATAAGATTTTAGATGATTAATAATGTATGAGCTTTTTGAAGGATGTCACTGCTCTTCGTTATAATTTATTGCAGTTAAGTGAAGATATCAGAGTTTTAGACGCTAACTCTGAAGAGAATTTAAAGTTAATTAAGTTAACTCTGTAAAAATTTGAAACGGTCAGAGATAAAAGAATAGAAAAATTATCTCCAGAAAAGAAGAGCGAAGAGTAAAAGATTGAAGACAAGAAATTGGAAGATAAGAGAAAGAAAATAGAATATATTGAGAAGAATTTGATTGGAAAGACCCTCTCAAATATGGATGATTAGGCTGAATCTGAAGTTTAAGTATGTTATCTATAATTTATTAAGAGAAAAAACGAGCATAAAGACTAAATGAATTATTATAATAGAAATTCAATTTTAATAAAAGTTCCATTGTTACTCGAGAATCCAAACTGATATTAAATCAAGAGTATTAAATTATTATTAATTAATTAGCAAACTAGAATAAGAAAAGGTATTACTATTGGAAAGCAGTCAAAAAGCCTCAAAAATAAAACATGACTTAGTAGATAACAGGAAAAGATTAGCACTAGAAAAGCTAAAAGATCCTACTAAAGATCCATAATTACGTGGAGCCTTAGAAATTATGACAAGAGTTCTTAATATTAATATATAAGATTAATTTTAAGAATGATGGATATTAATTATTTATTATTGATTTTTAATATCTAATAATATAAAATAAAACATAAGCATAAGATAATTTTCATAATTTTTAGGATGGTTGATAATAATTTAAATAAATTTAAGAGGCATATTTAATTAGAAACGTAAAGTATTTTTCTTATTTATTAAATTATTTTAGATTAAAATTGAAATTCAAGTCATTTCTATATCTACTCAGTGCATTTAAATAATATTTGACAGAATGTTTTATTGTAATAAAAAATAGTTATATGAAATACCCAACAGCCTAATTCAGTATTGCATTTTAGATCTGAAAGATCAACAATAGATTGTATTTTAAATAATTATTTAAATCATTTTCGTTCTGCTAGCTTCAATTATGAAATTTGTAGAGCCTCTTTGGATTATTTAAGCTCCGGATGTATTGATAGAGCTGATATGAAATTATTTATTGCCTCCTCATCTCTATTCAATTACTATAAAGCAAGTCCTAATGAAATATATATTTTTTTACCCTTATAATGATAGGCATATGGATACATTGATCTTTATTTTAACACTGTATCATAACAAATTAAAGATTCATTATATTTCTACATACCTCTTAAAGACTCACCTAAAAACACAATTCTTAATTACTTTTTCCCCAAAGAGCAAAAAAGTGGTTTGGTTATATTGAAAGAACTTTATCATAGATCTCTAGCGAATCATCGAACAAACCTAGTACTAATAGAATATCTCCTAAAAAGTTTATTTAATCTTTACCTTATTTAACTTATGCATCTAGATTGTTAGGTTGTAACGCCAAAACTTAATCAAATATTTTATGAGCCTCATCATATTCTTTCTTCTCCATAAATGTACAAGCTAAGGATAATATTCATTTTTACCTTTTTCATATAAAATATCAGAATTTTGAAGATCATCCTAAAGGAGAAAATTATAAATTTCCAAAGCCTCCTCATATTACATTAAATGCCTTAACGCATCAGCTTAACATAATTGCAACCATTTACCCTTAAATTTATAAGCGTCTCTGTAGTTCTCATTATAAGATATGCACTTATTGTACCCTACAATTGCTTCTTAAAATAATTATAGAGCTCTTAAGATTTCGCCTCATTAAATAAAGTTAAATTTTTACTTCTAAAAAATAGTGAATCAAGATTGTGAGGGAACGCTTTTAATATTACATTATCTAATTGAGATAACGCTTCTATATATTTGCCTTATATTATTAAAATCATTGCTGTAAAAATGATTTTAAAATAATTTACTTAATTTAACCCAAGTATAACAGCTGTTTGGATTGATTTTTACTGCCTTATTAAGTGATAATTCAGCTTCATCAAATTTAGCTGAGACTAATAAGATGTCCGCTTCTAAACAAAATATTTAATCATTATTTGGATTAGAACTTTTTAATTAGTTCAAAATATGTTAAGCTTCATCATAATGCTTGAAACGAATTAAAATGTGTGCTGAAATAATGCTTTATGAAATTGTACCATATACTAATAACTCCTCTTTATTTAAGCTTTGAATATTAAAGTAATTAAGAGTTTGTCTTAACAGTTCATTGATTTCTACTTCTTTACCTTTAAAATAATAATCTAGCCTAATTTACTTCTTGTCCATTCTAATTTATGATCTTCCATAATTTCATTCTAAGCTTTGATAAAATACTTCAAAGCCTTCTTATTTTACCCCATAGAACCTAATGTTAATCCTAATGATTATTGTAGCCTAGTTACCTATTTTTAAAAAGACAATTATTAAATCTTTCTTAAGTTTTTTTATTTTTCTATATTATTCTAGAGCCTATTAAAACTCTTTCAATATTGTTAGGGCATCACCTTCTGTTAGATAATTTGATACCATAACCAAATAAAGCAGCAATATTATATGAATCTATTCCCAAAATATTAGTATAAATCTAGATTGCTTCATGAAATTTATTTTAATCCATTAGTTATTTACCTAAGATGTTAATTAACTATTAAACCAATCTTTAATTAGGCAGAAATTTAACCTAGTTTCGTATTTTGATCTTAATTGTCTTAAGAAATTGCTTGATTGAATAAACCTTATTAATTTAATTCATCTACTAAATTTATATGTCGCCATACTTTGATTATTATTTGAAATTATTGTAAGTGGTTGAGCTTTTGGTTCGGAATTTAAATTTGATGAAAAAATTTGAAACATTTTGAAGGAAATAATATTATAATCATAGCTGAAATGTAATTTAAAATATTACTTATTCTGTCGTATTTCTGAAATGGATTATAAGAATATAATAAAATTGATACCAGAATATATATTTGCTCAATTAAATAAAGTATAACCCTTAAGATTTTTAGATACAGTTCAAAAGACTACTATAGGTTTGATAAAATCATTTCAGCTCTTTCCTAGTTTTAGTTTAATTAATGATATCAGTAAAAAATATCTTATTTAAATCAAGTTCCTTTATAAGTCATGCCTTTTTTTTTAAGTTGGTAGGTAATTAAAGGAAATTCTGGATATGAAGAAAGTAGTTGATGGGTTAATAGGAAATATGTTTGCAGTTGATTAGCATATAAAGAAAATGTGATAAAAATTTATAAATAAATGTATTTCATATAGTAAATATCTTGGATCATTGAATTTATTTTATTTTTTTATTTAATAAATAAATGTCTTCATACACAAGTAGATATAGACCCTCTACACTTGGTTCGAGTGGCATAAATTAGAATCAAGCGGCTACAACTTAATCTAGCTACAGAACATAAGTCACAACAACTACAACATCATCGAATTTGTCAGTACCACAAACGAACACTACAAGTACATTTGAGAGATCGGATGGTAGAAGATCAAGTACAATTAAAGCACCACCTGCTACAGCGTAAATAGTTATTTATATGAAGTGTTCAAATGGCACCACCATCAGGGGAGAGAAAATGGTTAGGAAAATACCCAGAAGTTGTGTGTTTCCTTTTAGCTCTGGAAAATGATCGTGTAATGAGAGAGAATGATGCTCTCATTAAAAGAATTAAGGAATTGGAAAGTTAGAGCGAGGGCGGAGATGTTAGAGTAAGGGAATTACAAGCAAAATTAGATTAAGCAAATAGAGATATAACGCAATACAAATCTGATATTGACAAACATTTAATAAGAATCAAGTAGTTGGAGACAGAGATCGCTGATTACAAGTCAAGATTAGGGTAGGTTGATAATTCACTTGCTTAGAGATTAAAAGATGCTGAACGTAAGATCACAGATTATGAAAGAGATATTAATTAATGGAAGAGTAAATATTCAACAGATAAGTCATCATGGGATTCAGAAATGAAGAGACTACAAGATTTACTATCTTAAAGATAGAGAGAATTGGATGATTTGAAAAACAACTCAGGAAGGAATTTGGATGGATTATAAAAATAAATTAGAGATTATGAAGTTAGAATTAGGGATTATGAAAACAAATTTAATACATTACAATCAGAGATAGACAGATTGACTAAATTGTTAAATGAAAGAAATGCTGAAAATGATAAGTTAAAAAATGATTTAAAAAATAAGTTACTTGAATGTGATGATTGGAAGAATAAATACAATACTTTGCAGTAATAATTCACTTCTATGAAATCTCAATATGAAAGTAAAATTAATGATTTAAGTAACTAATTGCAATAAAGGGATCGTGATCTAAATGATTGGAGAAACAAATATTCAACACTTGAGAATAAATACAACAATCTAGGAAATCAATAAAATGGATCAGAATAGAAATTGAATTAACTGACATAATTATCACAATAGCAAGTTAGAGAAATCGATAGATTAAATGGATTGTTGAGAGACAAAGATGCTCAAAATAACTCCCTTAAGGAAAAATTGGCAAGAGCAGAACAAGACAATAAAAACCTTTTAGATTAAATTAATCAATTGAATCAAATGATCAAGTAATTAAATAGAGAAATTGAGAAGTTATAAGGAGATTTAAATGGCAGAATCAATGAAATCAACTATTTGAATTAATAGCTTCAAAAATGCAATGACAATATTCGCAATTTAGAGGATTAAATCAATAAATTAAATGATGATATCATGAATAATAGGGATGAAATTATGAGTTTGAAGAGTCAGAATGAATAATTGAATAATAAAATTAATGAGTTAAATGAAAGAGCTGGATAATAACAAGGAGATCTACATGCAGCTAATTCAGAAAGAGAAGAGAGAGAACTCACTATTAAATAAATTAAAGAGTAATTGGATCAGTTGTTAACTGATAAATAGATTTTGGAGTAGCAATTAAATGATTTGAAAAATGCACTTTAACAGAAGAATGATGACATCAGTAGATTAAACCAATAGAATAAGTAAAGATTGTAACAATTAATGGATTTGTAAAAGAAATGTACAGAGTTAGAATACACCATCAGTGAATTAAGGGGAGTAGAATTGAAATGCAAACTATTAGAAGACAAAATCAATGAATATCAAAAGTTGATTGATGATTTAAAGAGAAGGGTTGCTTAATAAGATTTACAATTATTATAGGCATAAGCAAATGAGAGAAGACTATAGGATTAAGATATTCTCATTTAAAATTAAGCTAAAGAAATATAAAGACAAAATGATCAAATAACTTCTTTGTTGAAAGAGAATGACTAATTGTAACAATAAATTTTATAATTGGAAAATGAAATTAATAAATTGAAATCTCTTGAGAATTATGTTACTGATTTAGAGAAATAGTTATAGAATGCATAAGATGAGTTAAACAAACTAAAATAATTGCTTGACTCAAGAACACAAGACTTAAATGATTGGAAATTAAAATATTAATAATTATAACCTTTAGAAGATTAATATAGAGTTTTAGAGGAGAGATATAAGTAGGCAGAATAGAGAGTTTAATAACTCTAGAATGATATTGAAAAATTAAATAAAATTATTCAATAAAATTAAATTGATATAGACACTCACAAATGGAATTTGAATCAGCAAGAAATGACAATGAAGGTTAAGGATGATGCTTTGGAAGCATTAAATGAAAGAATGGGCAATTTAGTTCATGATTACGAGGAAGAGAGGAAGAAAACTTAAGATTACGAGTAATTATTGGCTCAACATCAATAGAATTTAGATAAGTTGGCATAAGCACAAACATAAAATAATAACTTATAGAGTGATTTAAATAATGCCAATAAAGATATTGAATAATTGTAGAGCGAGAATAATGACATGAGACAAGATTTATAAGAATTAGAAAGATAAATCTAAGAGTTCAAACAAAATGAAGCCAGATACAAAGATATTGAAAACAAATTTAATTAGTAATTAAAAGATATCGAGAGATTGACTGAATAATTAAGAGAAAAGACTCATTAATATGATGAATTAAATTCATAGTTTGGTGCTTTGGATCTATAATTGTAATAAGCAAACTAAACTATCGATGAATTAAATAAAAGGTATAACTTTAAATTAATTCATAGAATTGCTGAATTAGAATAGACTAAGAGAGAACATGAAGTTTTGAAGACCTAAACAGACCAGTTGGACAATTTAAATAAATAATATTTAGCTGACTTGGATAGATTAAATGCAATCGTGAATTAAAGATAGAAGGAATTGGAAGAATTACGTTAATTGATGTAGAAATTAGAAGACAGAATAGCTTATCTGACTCCTTTTGAGGAGAAAGTATTAATGTGTTTGATCTTAGTTCCAAGTCATATCACCAAAATATTAAGAATCATAAGAAATAGTTGAAAGACAAAAGGAGGATATCAATAAGTATTAGGAACAATTGAACACTGTGGATGAGTTAAATAAAAAGTAGGATTATTTATTAATATTTTAAGAGTCTAAGATTGTATGATGATTTTAACTATGCAATTTACAGAATGTGAAGGGTTGAGAAGCTAATTGGATGAGAAGGATAATCTAATTGCAAATCTTCAATAATAATAGCACCAATGATGAATAAGAAATAAATATATATAAATAAATATATATATATAATAATGATATTATCAAGAGGCTTATTCAACTTGCCACTAAAACAAGTCTAATTTTTCGGAAGAAGAAAGGATTATTATGCAATTTTGGGGATCTCAAAGACTGCCACAGAGGAATAAATCAAAGAAGCTTACGCATAGAAAGCACAAAAGTACATCTCAAATACAAGCATATTAGACTCTATCCAAATGTCACTACATCTGTGGCTATAAATGATGTATAAGCCCAATAAGGGTTCTAGGATGTGGCTGAAGCCTTTGCAGTACTCTCACAAATACAAAGCAGAAATGCTTACGATCTTTTGAATAAAGAATAACCAGAGCTATTGTATGGTGAAGAAATGGAAAGATATAAATAATCATTCTAAAGAAATGATGATGGTACATACAAAAGGCCAGGATAAGTGGCATCAGATTATGCCAAAGAGAAGCAAGAGTATTTGAAAAAAGAGAGATCAGTTTTTAATGTAGATGATTTTGGCAGATACAAAGGAGGTAAAATATAGTTTAATCATTCAAGGTGTCCCAAGACCAAACAAAGGTTATGTAAGAGGAAATTCCTTAATGGGTGTTGGTTAATATCACAGACCATTATATCACAATATGAAACAAAATCCATTTGAAACAGAGCATCGTATCACTTCTGAGGATGCTTAATATTTTAGAGTTTGGTCTACTGAAGAGAGAACATTCAAAGAATGGTCATATTTGCATTAAAATGCAGTAGTCGACTACGAATACTTAAAAGTATGAAAGCCTAATATTATTAAGTTTAATGACTATAGAATTTTCTTTAGATGGGTAAGAAATTTCTTCTTGGTGTTTTTGGCATTCCCTTACTTCTTCTAATCATTATACAGAGGTCATTTGAGAGAAATTATTGATGAAATTAATGAAGAGATGGCTGAAGGAATGCCTATTGTGGGAAGATAATTTGGCAATTTACAGGTTGTTGTAGGCAAGACAGGAACACTAAAATTGTAAGATGCAAATGGGGGACATCATCATCATTGAATTATAAAATAAAAAGAATAAAATACATAATGATCACAAATCCGTTTTAATTATTAATAATAATGTATAAAGTGATAATATTGTGCTCCCTTGTTCTATTTGCAAGCAGCATGAGTGAAGGAGAGACACTATTACAATCTTTGCAAAGCACTGAATTTGGAAAAACAATAATTTAAACTATTCAAGTGGAATTATAAGGAAATAGCAGTGTTGATAAAATTATTGATCTTCTTACTCAAATGAAAGATAGAATCAATGGTGAATAAGATGAGGAAAGACAAAAGTCAAGAGATCATACTTAATTTTGTGATGATAAATATGATGAAATCTTATTTGTTATTGATTCATCGGAATATTAGTTGGCTAAAGATTAATAAACATTGCCATTATTCGTCTAAGAATAAAAAAACAAATAAAGATAATTATTGGATAAATAAGAAATTGAAAATAGAAATAATTAACGTATTGCTGAATTAACTTAAGAAAGAGACATTACCAGAGTATTTATCATGCTTAATTTTAGTAACAATATGAAGCAAGAAGAGATGAATTGACTAATATGGTTGGTGCTCTTCAAGAAGGAAAAAGAATCATTAGCAAGTTAAGTACCAAAAAGTGGGATCCCTTGGCTGGAACCTATTCTTTCCTTGAGTTCTCTTAATTTATGTTTAATGAATTAGAAGGACATTAAAAGTTATTAAAAAAACAATCAAATGGAATTGGCTTACTCTATGAATTGCTTCTAGAAACCTCTTAGTAAACCATTTTTCAATCTATCAATTAGAGATCCAGGAATACAAGCTAACTAATAAGGTGTTGCTAAAATTTAAGAAATTATTGATGAACTAATTGAAAGTGTTTTCGATTTGTTAAAATAAGAATTACTGACAGATAACGCAAGAGAATAAGATTACCAAAATTAAAAAGAAAGAATTGTCATCCAAAATAGAAGATTAGAAGCAACTATTGCAACATTCAAGGCTAGAGTCTTAATTATCAATTAAACCTTATTAGAATTGAATAATGACATTAGATTTAACACTGAAGTAAAAATAACATATTGAAATTTCAAGAAATCAACTCTATTGAGAAAATAAAAGGATGATTGGGAGAGAACTTGCGTCGATTATCACAATGGTTATGTAGAAGCTACTAAAATTAGGTATAAATTAAATCCATTTTAGAACCTAATAAAGTGATATCCTAACAGAAGTAATCTAAGTTTTCAATAGAAACTATAACGACTTTCCAAATTTAATTTAGAGGATATCGATTTGATAAATTTATTAAATTTAAAAATAATACAATTCTCAAACTAGTAAACTCTTTAAGAGGCTCTATTTCAAATTATAATTAAGGGTTTCCTAAAATTAAATAATGTATTTATTTCTAATTATTTATTTCACTTCATAGAATAATAGAGGTACAATATTTGTTGCGTTAGATCAATCATTAATATTTTGACAAAAGTTTAAATTAACATTTCTCTTAATTTTAGCTATATAATATGAAGTGTAACCAAAAAGCAATTTCTCTAGCAAGGCATCCCTGTAAAATATTGAAGTACTAAATAGCTAACATTAGGTTTTTTTAAACAAATTTATAATAATAAAAAAGTTAATATAAGGTATAATTTAATTTTATGATAATGATAATTAATTTTAAGAATTGAAATTGATCTCATTATTCTAGTTTCTGATAGTTACTGATTATAATTAAGAACCCTAATTTATCCTTTTTAGAATTTCGATGATTCAAAGTTCATAATCTTGATTCTTATATTTCCAATAATTAAAATGGAACCAATTTTGATAGCGATCTTTTCTTTGATAATGTTGATGGTTTATTTCCTCATCATAAAACCCTTAGTTCCTTTGCTCCTACTAAAGCTATAATTAGGAGACAAAGCAATTTTAATGTTTTATCCCATCTTTGGCTTCTTAGGAGTATTAACAAAATCAATATAAATTAACAATGATCTGATGCACTCAATTAATCATGCATTAAGAAAAAATCCTAAAGCAAAAGTCATTTTATCAAACCACCTAACAAAACCTTTTATCATGCTAACAGGATCAGAATACATCAAGGATTCGTTTCTAGACCATCATGATTATGAAAAAATGAATCCCTTTATGATACCTTCATTTCTACAAAAAGGATTAGTGATGAGTGAAGGGGAAAGTTGGAAGAGACAAAGAAAGTTCTTAGGCACAGCATTCACATTTGAGAAGTTAAAATCAAGATTGCCTATGATGAATAAAGTTATTGAATATATATCAGAAAATGATGATAAAAGTCATTTAAATGATTTTATGGCTCGAATAACTGGAGAAGTAGTTATTAGAAGCTTTTTTGGTGAATTAGTTGAAGGATTCTAATTAGAAGGAAAAGATGCTTAAGTAGCGCTTATCTAATTAACAGGAGAAATTTCTATAATGCAATTATAGAGTGCATACTATTTTATTAAATATTTATTATTTAAAGATAGGATGTTTGAGGTTTTTCCTTGTAAAAAAGAAAAAGAAATTTTAAGGCGAGTGGAGAATATAAGAATGAAATTGAATGAGCTAATCTTAAAAAGAATATAATAATTAAAGGAAAATCCAGTCTAAGATTAAGAAAAAATGGTTTTCTTAGATTTATATGTAACTGAATACTTAAAATAATAAAAATAAAATGAATAATAGATAGATCTTGAAGAAATATTGCATTAATTCATAACTCTATTCTTTGCTGGTACTGATACAACAGCCACAACTTCTGGAACTTGCTTATACTATTTAGCTAAATATCCTGAGATTTAATCTGAAATTTTAGAAGAAGTAAATTAAGTTGTTGGAAATGCTGATATAAATGAAGACAATTTAAACAAGCTAACTAAGGTTAACGCTTTGATTTAAGAAGTTTTAAGATTGAGGAATCCAGCATTTGTTACACTCTTTAGAACAGTTAAACGTGATAAATAGGTTTAAGACATTAAACTTAAAAAAGGATGGGCATTAGTGTAAATGTAAAACGCTAGTAGTATTTAAGACTCACATTTTGATAATGCTACTGAATTTAATTATAAAAGATGGTTTGACAAAGGTAATGTAGTTAAAAACGATAATGGATACATTAACATTCCTTTTGCAGCAGGACCTAGAAATTGCATTGGATAACATATGGCATTGATGGAAGCAAAGATTATTATAGCATTGCTGGTTAGGAAATATAAAATACTCTTAAATCCTGATGTTTAAGAAGTTAGATTTGGAGTAAAATTTCTATAAACTGTTGAACCAGACAACTGTTTATTTTTTAAAAAAAGAATTTAATGAGTTAAATTATTAGATATCAAAATTATTTTAAATTATTAAAAATATTCTAGATTTGATCAACATTATCAAATTATTAAATAATATTAATATATAAATATATATCTATTAATATAAGTTATTAGGTATTAATTTATTCAAGGATTTGAATATTAATAGGAATTTGTTATTAATCAAAACTATTCTTTCAGACTTCAAGGATTGTATAAAATGAATTTGAAATAAAATTAACTAAAAATTTCATCTTAAGAAATTTAATTATAATTATTTATTAATTCAAAATCATATTAAAAATATAATCAATATTACATTTGATAAAGTTCTAAATATTTATTTGGGAATAATTTGAGGATTCTAAAAACTCATAGAACATTTAAAAAACTGGAAAAATGAATAATCATCTGCAAGTACTCAATACATAAATATGTTCTAATAAGTTTACAACTTACCAATCAGAGAAAATGTTTATCCTAAATCTAAATAAATTATTCTTTACAATAATGATAAAAAATTAATTATTATACATAAGCAATTACAATATTTCTTTTAAAATTTCTAACTTTTAAAATAATAAATAAATTTAATGCAAACATTAGTTATGGCATTCATCATAATTTTGTTATTAGCATTATTTTTCATCATCATATAGCCATTAGTCCCATTGCTTTTATTAAAACTTAAGTTAGGAGACAAAGCGATTATAATGTTTTATCCAATTTTTGGTTTCATTGGCATTTTTATGAGATCAATAAAAACCAACTAAGATGTGACGAAATCGATAAATGTAGCCCTTAGAAATAATCCAAGAGCAAAGATCATACTATCAAATTTTCTAAATAAGCCTTGTATTATGTTTGCAGGAACAGAATATCTAAAACAATCCTATTAAGATCATGATGATTTTGAAAAACTCGATCCATTTATGCTACCTTCATTTATTCAAAAAGGATTGGTAATGAGTGAGGGGGAAAATTGGGAAGAGATAAAGAAAATTTTTAGCTCCTGCATTCACTTTTGAAAAATTAAAATCGAGATTGCCTATGATGAACCAAGTTGTTGAGGATATTGCAGAAAAGGATGATAAAACAAATTTAAATGACTTCATGTCACGAATAACTGGAGAAATTGTAGTAAAAGGTTTTTTTGGAAAGTTAGCTGAAGGGTTCTAACTTGAAGGAAAAGATGCATAGATAGCTCTGACTAATTTAACAGGAGAAATATCTTTGATTGTAATGGAAAATCTATATTCGTTTGTTAAATCTTTATTATTTGGAGTAAAAATGTGGAAAATCTTGCCATCCAAATAAGAAAAAGATCTAGTGAGGAGAGTGGAGAATGTAAGAATAAAATTGAATGACCTAATATTAAAAAGAATAGAATAATTAAAGGATAATCCAGTCCAAGATCAAGATAAAATGGTTTTCTTAGATTTATATGTAACTGAATACTTAAAATAATAAGCATAAAATGAATAATAGATAGATCTTGAAGAAATATTGCATCAATTTATAACCCTATTCTTTGCCGGTACTGATACAACAGCAACAGTTTGTGGAACTTGCTTATATTATTTAGCTAAATATCCTGAGATTTAATCTGAAATCTTAGAAGAAGTAAATGAAGTAATTGGAAATGCTGATATAAATGAAGACAATTTAAATAAGCTAATTAAGGTTAACGCTTTGATTTAAGAAGTTTTAAGATTGAGGAATCCAGCATTTGTTACACTCTTTAGAACAGTTAAACGTGATAAATAGGTTTAAGACATTAAACTAAAAAAGGGATGGGCATTAGTGTAAATGTAAAACGCTAGTAGTATTTAAGACACACATTTTGATAATGCTACTGAATTTAATTATAAAAGATGGTTAAGCAAGGATAGTATAATTAAAAACGATAATGGATACATTCACATACCTTTTACTGCAGGGCCAAGAAATTGCATTGGATAACATATGGCATTGATGGAAGCAAAGATTATTATAGCACTGCTGGTTAGGAAATATAAAATACTCTTAAATCCGGCCGTTTAGTAAATTAGATTTGGAATTAAATTCTTGTAATGTGTTGAACCAGACAACTGTGTATTATTTGAAAAAAGAATTTGATGAGTCAAATTGTTAGATATCATCAATTTTTTAAATTATTTAAAATTAATCTATTTTTATCTCATTTTCAAATTATTAATTAATAATATATATAAATATCTATTGATTAAGTTATAAGGTATTAATTTTATTAAAGGATTTGGATATTAATAAGAATTTATTATTAAATCAAAACTTTTCTTTCAGACCCTAAGTATTGTATTAAATGAATTCGAAATCAAAATTTAATAAATTTCACACTTAAAATTAATTTTAATTATTAATTCAAAATCATAATTAATAATAAAATTAATATTAAATTTAATTAGTTCTAATATTTTTATTGTCTATAAATTAATAAGTAGTAAACAAATTTACAACTTGCCAATCAGAGAAAAATGGTTATCCTAAAATCTTAGCTGGATATTCTTTAAAATAGTTATTATAATCTAATCATACTATAAAAGCAAATTACATTATAAAACTTTAAAATTGTCGACTTTGAAAAAAATAATAATTTAATGTTAACATTATTTATTGCAATCGTCATAGTGCTCTCATTAGCATTATTTTTCATCTTCATATAGCCGTTAGTCCCCTTGCTTTTATTAAAACTTAAGTTAGGAGACAAAGCGATTATAATGTTTTATCCAATTTTTGGTTTCATTGGCATTTTTATGAGGTCAATAAAAACCAACTAAGATGTGATGAAATCGATAAATGTAGCTCTTAGAAATAATCCAAGAGCAAAGATCATACTATCAAATTTTCTAAATAAACCTTGTATTATGTTTGCAGGAACAGAATATCTAAAACAATCCTATTAAGATCATGATGATTTTGAAAAACTCGATCCATTTATGCTACCTTCATTTATGCAAAAAGGATTAGCGATGAGCGAGGGGGAGAATTGGAAGAGATAAAGAAAATTTTTGGCTCCTGCATTCACTTTTGAAAAATTAAAATCGAGATTGCCTATGATGAACCAAGTTGTTGAGGATATTGCAGAAAAGGATGATAAAACAAATTTAAATGACTTCATGTCACGAATAACTGGAGAAATAATTGTAAAAAGTTTTTTTGGGAAGTTAGGTGAAGGGTTCTAACTTGAAGGAAAAGAAGCATGGGTAGCTCTGACTAAATTAACAGGAGAAATATCTTTGATTATGATGGATAATCTATATGCTTTCGTTAAATCTTTATTATTTGGAGTAAAAACATGGACCATCCTGCCAACCAAATAAGAAAAAGATGTAGTGAGACGAGTTGAGAATGTAAGAATAAAATTGAACGAATTGATCTTAAACAGAGTAGAATAATTAAAGGATAGTCCAGTCCAAGATCAAGATAAAATGGTTTTCTTAGATTTATATGTAACTGAATACTTAAAATAAAAAAAATAAAATGAATAATAGATAGATCTTGAAGAAATATTGCATCAATTCATAACCCTATTCTTTGCTGGGACTGATTCAACAGCAACAATTTGTGGAACTTGCTTATATTATTTAGCTAAATATCCTGAGATTTAATCTGAAATCTTAGAAGAAGTAAATGAAGTAATTGGAAATGCTGATATAAATGAAGACAATTTAAATAAGCTAATTAAGGTTAACGCTTTGATTTAAGAAGTTTTAAGATTGAGGAATCCAGCATTTGTTACACTCTTTAGAACAGTTAAACGTGATAAATAGGTTTAAGACATTAAACTTAAAAAGGGATGGGCATTAGTATAAATGCATAATGCCAATAGTATCTTAGATTCACATTTTGATAATGCCACCGAATTTAATTATAAAAGATGGCTAAGCAAGGATACTATAATTAAAAACGATAATGGATACATTTACATTCCTTTGACAGCAGGGCCAAGAAATTGTATTGGATATCACATGGCATTGATGGAAGCAAAGATTATTATAGCATTGCTGATTAGGAAATATAAAATACTTTTAAATCCGGCCGTTTAGCAAATCAGATTTGGAATTAAATTCTTTTAATGTGTTGAACCAGATAACTGTGTATTATTTGAAAAAAGAATTTGAAAAATTATAAATAATATAAATCATAATTAACATATAAATATTATTATTTTTATAACATATTTAAGTTTATCAAAATGGAAGTTTAGACTTTAATTTAATGAATTAAAAACAAGCAATTAAGAGAATTTAAAATAGTTTATTAAATGATTGTTTTGAAATATTTTATTAAAATTGTGAATATTAATTATATATTAATTATGTAGGAAATTTAGATGGTAGTGCCTTATCGATAAAATATTGGAAAATCGATAATATTTTATCTTCTTTGCATTTTTTCGTTCGGTTTAGTCTATGTAGTCGCTACTTGGCATTATAAGATCTGGGCAATATTGAGAATGTCTAAGTGTGAAATATTTGCCGCAGAGCATTTTCGTATTGACTCCAAAGATGGTACATAAGTAATTGTTCCAAGCCATCATTACATGTAAAAAGGATTAGATTATATTGTAAAAATTGAGTATAAATTTAGGGGTTCAATTATAGATATCAAAGGTTTATCTATAGAGAGGGAAGATTTGAAAAAATTCTCTTTTAGCTTTAGAATAATAAAGTAGCTCATCAGAGGGATCATTTAAAGTCAGTAGAATAGTTGAAAGATTATTAAGACCTGTATGGAATTAATTCGACAGAAATTCCAAGAAAACCAATTTTATCAATTCTTATCGATGAATTAATGCATCCTTTGTTTGTTGTGTAGCTTCTTTAAATATTCTTATGGATTTATGAAGAGTACACTAGTTATGCCATAATATTGCTGTTGACATCAATTATTTCAATGATTGATACTTTATTTGAGTACAGAGAGAGTTATCGTGAAATCAGATTGAATTCAAAATTAGAGCATGAAGTGAAAATCATTAGATTTGGATAAAAAATAACAATTCATTCAAGAGAGTTAGTACCAGGAGACATTATTTTAATTGAACCTTTTCAGGTGATTGCTTGTGACTGTGTACTTATTGAGGGCACTTGTATTGTGTAGGAGTAATTTTTGAATGGTGAATAGACTCCTATAACAAAAAGCAATTTGCCAGATGATGATTCAGCTTTTGTTTAAAAGGATGGAAACATGCTTTATATGTCAACTTTTTGTTTGAGAGCAGATGAAAATTGCCTTGCTTTTGTTGTGTCAACTGGTTTTAATACTAAGAAAGGTGAGTTAATAAGAGAAGTGATGTTAACTCCTGATTATTCATTTGATTTCTATGATGATAGTATGAGATATTTAAAATATTTAAGTATAGTGGCAATAGTTGGCTATTTAATTGCCTTGCCATTTAAGATATATTTTTTAATAACTTATCCCTTTATAGAGGCTACCGATCTTATTACTGATATACTAGATCTATTGGCAGTATGTGTACCACCAACTCTGCCTACGACTTTATAAATAGGGTTAAGTTTAGCGTTGAAGAGATTTAAAAAGAAAAAGATATATTGTTTCAATCCAAACAAGATAAATTTAGCAGGAGTGGTAAGTTAGGTATGTTTTGACAAAACAGGAACACTAACAGAGGATGAACAGAGACTTTATGGAGTCATTGAAATGAATAATCAGGGTTAATTGAATCCACTTTTGAAGGATTTCGATAATTTAAATAAAATAATAAGATTGGTTATGGCATGTTGTAACAACATTGTAAATGAAGAAGAAATAATTTATGGAGATCATTTAGATTTGGCATTATTTAAGAATAGTTCTGCAAAGATTTTTTATAGAACAGTGTTGTTGGATGGAATTAATTATGATATTGTAAAAACGTTTGAATTTACATAAGAATTATAACGAATATGTTGTATTATTCATAATTAATAAAATCATAATAAATATTCATTGGTAAAGGGATCTCCTGAGAAGGTTAGACAAATATGTGAAAATATTCCAGAAGATTACACATCAGTTTTTAAATATTATAGTCATCATGGATTTAAAGTAATTGCTTGTGCATATAAACCATTATTATAAGAAGATGTAATTCCTACAAGAGAGTATTCTGAATCAAAACTAACTTTTCTATGTTTTTTAGTATTAGAAAATAGAGTCAAAGATAATGCAGAATAAGTTATTTAATAATTAAAAAGTGCTAAAATAGATATCATTTTAGTAACTGGAGATAATGTATTAACTTCAATGAGAGTGGCTAGATAGACTAGAGTAGTGGAAGAAAACGAATAATTGGTGTATGGGGAGCTGGTTGAAAATAACAATGAATTATAAATAGATTGGAAGGATATGGAACAACAATTTAAAGAAATTGAAAATTAAATGCATAATGACACAAGAACATTGTGTGTTGAAATTCTATAGCAGAAATTGCCTAATTCTATTAGTAAATTCAACTTTGATGCTAAATCATGTGAGAATTTGGACAATAATATTGCTGTTGTCAACGAAGAAGCATAAGAATAATTATAAAAATCAGCTACTCTAGCAATTACAGGTAAGTTATTCACTTATTTAATGAATTAAGCTAAAGAAAATAAAGATTATAAGTATATTGATTAGTTAATAGCTAAAACTAAAGTTTATGCTAAGATGAGAAGAGAACATAAGGCTGAATTGATTAATTACTTGAAAACTAAGAAGTAGATTGTCTTTTGTGGCGATGGAGGTGCTGATATTTAAGCTATGCGTACTGCTGATGTTGGAATAAGTTTAACAAATACAAAATTGTCTTTAGCAGCTCCATTTACATCTGGATAGGAGGATTTAAGCACAGTACCAATCATTCTAATAGAAGGTAGAGGAGCTTTGACTACCTCATTTCAAGCTTTTGAATATATGACAATGTGTTCATTAGTCCAATTTTTAAGCTGCACAATCCTATATTTTCAATATTCATACATGACAAATTCCTAATTTCTTATTCTAGATTTATTTGTTGTATTACCACTCAGTATTTTAATGACTTACACTAATAATCTTACGAAATTAACAGCAGAAATCCCTTAGAGGAGTTTGGTTAGTGTAGAAGTGTTATCAATAATATTAGGATAGTGCTTTATATAGATGACATTTTAAATGCTCATTTATCTTATATTAATTTATTAAGATTGGTATAAGGATCCTGTGACATTATCTCATTAAGAATATGGTGAAGCAGGTTTTATGCAATCATTTGAAGCTACCTCATTATTTTTAGTTACTAATTTCTAATATATTATGTTATCAGTATCATTATCTTATGATCCTAGATTCAAAAAACCATTTTACTCTAATCGACCTTTTACATTTTATTTGATTCTCCTAGTCATACTTTAGTTGTATTTGCTTATGTTCACCTATAGGGATGACACAGAGGATGACTATCTAAATGTATACAAATTTTTTTATTTTATAAGCTCACATTCAAAGTGAAAGGATACGAAATGCCACAATCATGGCTCATGTTTCTACTTGGGATGATTATATTGAATTCTACTTTAACTCACACCTACTAAATTTATGGAGTTCCATATGTTATTATAAAAATGAAAAATAAATTATGAATGTTTTTATATAAATTTTATAACTAATAACAATTTATATAACCAATGTCTGAAAAATAATAAAATTCACTTCCCTATTAGGAGCTCTCCTATCTAAAGGGAAATAAATAATTTTTGAGTTTTGAAAGAGCATTGCCAATTATAGATTTTGTCCATTAATTAAAAAGTAGAGATTATGAAAATGAATTTTCATTTCTTAAACAAATTACCTAAACTAGAGAACATGATAGACTTCTATATAGAAGCGCTTAGATATAACATTTGAATAGATATGCTGATATCCTTCCTTGTAACATAATTAATTCATTTATAAAGATGTTCATTCTATTGTAAAACCTTAATTAGATACTTCAGATAATAGTTATTACATTAATGCTAATTATATTAGAGGGGGAAACGATGAAGAAAGAAAATATATTGCTACTCAAGGCCCTGTAAATTAATCAGTTTAAGATTTTTGGCATATGATATGGACAAATAACGTGGGTGCAATAATTATGCTTTGCAAACTGTTCGATAGATAACGAGTATGCAGCAAGATATTTACTTTAGATATAATGCGAAAAATATTGGCCGTCTGAAAAAGCTATTTATGGGCCTTATTAAATTGACACAATATCAAGATAAGAATCTAATAAGGATATATTCGAAAGTAGTCTAATTATGAAGACAAAAGAGAAGTAGCATAAAGTAAGTCACTATTAATGGTGTGATTGGCCAGATTTCGGGATTGTTAAGGAGGATTCCTATTAAGTTCTTGATTGGCTGGCTGGAATAGCCAATGAAGCAGCACAAGATAACAAAACACCAGTGATTCATTGTAGTGCAGGAGTAGGGAGAACGGGAACCTTTTTGGCAATCTGTCATATAAAACAGTTACTCATAAAAAATGATGCTTAAATTTCAATCTTTAGTATAGTGAGGAGATTGAGAGAATAAAGACCATTATTAGTGCAATCAGTGTAATAGTATGAGATGATTTATAAATATACAATTTGGTTGTTGAAGAATTTGAAATATATGTGATTTAAATATATATTTATAAATTATGGATTAGTAAGCGATGACTAATGCCCTTGGGAATCTAAGTATCTCTTTGTTTTTATATAAAAGAGCGGCAAAACGAGCTTCGTTAGCAATAAAAACAACAAAGTAGTATTCCAGATCAATAAACTGAGAGTAATGTTTATAATGATGACTTTGATGGCGATGATGCAATTCTTAATGTTATAAAAAGTAAAGATAAAAGGTTAACTTTTGTTTAGCTGCCCAGGATTAAAAACCTAAATAATAACCACAAGCAGCATTGCCTAAAAGACCTGAATCTTCAACTAAGAGAACTGCCTCAATGCCAAAGAAGAAGCCCTACTAATTTAATAAGTTGAATGAGGGAGAAAAAGAGAAATTATTCTTGGATGTGTATGATGAGAATATAAAGCTAAAGGAAAATTAGGCAAAATTTGAAAAAATGTATGGGACTATGGAAGTTAAATTATAATAAATGTAAAAATTCATGGGGAATAAAACCGTTGGTGCAGGAGAATCCAATGAATAAAATAATTAATTAGCATCGAAAGTCAATAATTTGGAAACTGAAAATGAAAAATTAAAATAGAAGATATAAGCTATTTCTTAAGCATAAAGAGTTGTTGTGGCTCATTAACCAATGAAAAAAAAGAAATTGGTATAAGCAGATAGACCAGAAATGGAATAGACTGGGATAAGAGGAGGTTAGTTTGTGGATTAATAAAATCAAATAAAATAATTGTTAGATTTAAATGATAAATTAAAGAAACGATTACTTGAATAGGAAGCCTAATTCAGATAATTGTAGGCAATGATGAATTCTAAGATTGTCAATCAATAGGAGTTAAGTTAGAAAAATGCTTAATTTGTCACTCTACAGGAGAGATGCAATAAATTAGAATCGAATTTAAGTGGTATGAGATCATAATTGGATGATGAACGTAAAAGACAGAGCGAAATCATGATGCTCTTAAGAGAGGAAAAAGAGAAGAATCATTTATTGGAAGGATAAGTTAGATCCATGGAGTTGGCATAGAAGAGTGTTGTTGATTTACAAGCAGATTTACAAGAAGCAAGAAGATAAAAGAAGGAAATTGAAGAGAGATTAGCAATTCTAATGGAATCCCCATTTTTTAAGGAATACAATGAAAGAGCTACTATACAAGCCAAAATGAAAGCTATGGAACAGGAGTAGATAAGGAATTCTACAGATTTAAAGAATTTGAGAGAAACCAATGCAAAATTAGAAACAGAAAATAGATTGAAAAGAGAGGATATTGAGAATCTCAAAAAAGAGTTTAAAATACTATAAGAAAGAAATTAAGAATTGAATATCAAGTTGGCTGAAAAAGATTAGCAATTACTTCCATTTAAAGATTTAAATTATTGGGATAATGATTAATTTTTAAAAGTGTTGGGTAATTTGAAATGGACTGGAGAAGATCCTGCTTGGAGAAAAATTGAATTTATAGATCGTACTTATTTGGATTCTGATGATCCTGTTTATTTGAGAAAGGAGATTGAACACTTGAAACTTGAGAAGGGAGAATTGGCTGCACATTTAGAAAAAACATAAACATTACTCAAGAATCAATAGGATATCTAGATGGAAAAAGACAAAATGCATTAAACTTAAATAGAATAATTAAAGATTGGAATTAAAGGTTGCCAATGAGAAAGCATATGAATATGCAAAGATAGCTGATCTGAAAACTCAAGCCAGAATTTTAATAGACTTTGTATGAAGCCGAAGGAATCAAATATGATGACTCTATTTCAGTGTTCTCAGTTGACAAAGATGAAATGTTGTCGCCAGGAGAGAATTTCTTTGATTTATGGGTTGGCAAAGGAGAGTATCAACCTGCTGAGTTAGTTTCTTCATATAAGACTTCTACACAATTAAATTTGGATCTTGGAAGTCTATTGACATTTGTTACAATTGATTTCTATGATCATGAAACGCAACATACAAGTGTATCAGAAGGAACATCATGCTTTTATAATTTATAAATAAGTTTTAAGGTTGATGCTGATGCTAACTTCATTCAATACCTTGAAAGCAATTATTTGAAACTAGAACTTTATGTTAGTTAAGGCAGTGAACCTACAAAGATTGGGTCAGGTTTGATTTAATTGAAGGACTTAGTTTATGAGAATAAGAATGACACTATAAGTAAAGTTATTAGTGGATCTCTTACTTTTCATGGGGAATCAACAATTAGATGATAGGAATAGTGGAATTTAAAGCAAGAATGAGATATCCAATTTCAAATTTCATTCGTTTGTTAAAGGAAAGAAATTAATTGTAAATGTAAGATTTGGATGAAGCTGAAGAGAATAGTTGCAGTTAGAAAACGAAAGCTTGTTATATGCATTGAAAAAGGTACATCTCTTCCTCAAAAATCTAATTGTTTCATCTACTATAATTTTGATACCAAAGATTTTCATACTAATACTTAGATGGGATCTAATCCAAAATGGGACTATAGAATGGTTCATGATATTGTATACAATGAATTGGTTGTCAATCAATTCAATAGGATGCCATTAGAACTATACATCATTGATGATAATCAACCGCTAGTGGAAGGATCAAATGACAAGGTGGGATATTGTTTGATTGATTTGGCTCCTTTAGTAAAGAATCAAATGGTTGACTTAGCAGCAGAAGTTAAGAATGATGATGGAGACAAAGTTGCATCAGTTTATGTTAAAATCTTTTGGTATGACATTAAAGATGAGGACACATTAAATTAATAGAGATCCATGATTGCAGAGTCTTGGGAGGAAAATATCACCCATAAAATAAGTTCAGAAATGAGATCCAGAGGGTTATTGGGTATTACTGCCTTCAGAGTATTCGACAGGGATCAAGATTAGATTATCACCTATGAAGATTTTGCCAATGGTTTAAAGAATGTTTTAAATATCAAAATGAATCCTCAGGAAATGTAAGTTTATTATTCTAAATTACCTCAACCTTTGAATCAATAGAAATTCTAGGAATTTTTCAGATTACAATCTAATGAAAGCATATAGTATGAAGCAGGGTTCAAATCATAATATCAAACACAAGAATTGTCATCAATAAACTAACTGATGTAATAAAACACTATGCAATTGCAAAGAACATAATTAGAATAGATTCATAATTCAATTTATGATTTATTGAAAAGAAAACTTTCATATGGTAAATCAGTCTAAGAACTGTTTATGGAGATAGACTCTGTGAAACCTGATGGACAATTAACTATTGATGAACTACAAAGATATCTCTAGTAAAATAGTTTACTGATACCAATTGCTTAATTACGAGAGTTCCTCAAATTTTATATGGATATCAATAATGACCAGTTGATCAATTTTAGAGAATTTACCAACTACTTTAAATTGGTTCCCACTTCTTAATAGTAGTAGATGTATTCACAATCTTCATTTTAATAAGTCAGCAACTAAAGAATGCAGTCTAACTTCCCAAGTATATAAGACACTTAACTATCTTAATCTCCAATTGATATAGCTATCACTGCAATTCTTAATTATGGTTAAGCAAGATAATGGACCTTAATGTAGGTTAGAGAGTTCATGGATGAGAATAGGAATAGCTTTATAGAAACAGGTGAAATGAAGAAGTTCCTTATATAGTTTGGAGTTCACAAAAATTTACAAAATGGTGATGATGATATCAGACAGATTATAGCATTCTTCGATGTTAATCATGATGGAAGAATTTCAATTTCTGAATTTGCAGACACATTAAATATGTACAATAATAGACTGCAGATTATTAAGGCGTAACCTACTCAATAAAATATTTAAAATTATGTTGTTGGTTATCTAATTGCTTATATGAGAAAATATAGAAAAACTGTCCCAGAATTATTTAATGATATCGACTTGGATGGCAATGGATACTTATCAAAGGTAGAGCTCAAGAACATATTTAAAAATAAAATTGTAATGCAATTTATTCTATATTCTTTTTTAGTTGGTACCAGTTGATGAATTTGAATTAAATGAGTTATTCATGGAATTCGATAAAAATAGAGATGGCCATATTAGTATATCAGAGTTTTTGTAAATTGTAAAACCTGCACTTGATCAGGATAAAAACGATTAATAATTTAATTAATAAGGAATAGACAAAGAAAAGATTGCTCGAAAGGCGGAAGAAATATGTTTCAAAAATGCCCGAGTTCTTCAATTAGCATTCTAAGCTAAAGCCCAAAAGCCTGGCTATGTAACTGAGACATAGTTCAAATAAATTCTTAGAGATTAGAAAGTCGGATTCACTCCAAATGAAATTGACGATTTAACAGTGAGTTTTTATATTAATTTTTAGATATATGTGGTTTTGCCTGAAAATGGAATGATAAATTACAATTAATTCTTGGATCTGGGTAAACTAAGAGGTCCATAACAGTCTGATATATTTGGATAGACTAGTAGATCAGGTTTTGGTTCTTTGAGTTAAATAGAATAGGAGAGAGCCATAGGCAAAGCAAAAGAAGTATTTCGATATCAAGATATCTTAGGTTTTCAATAGGATATCAAGGGCTGTTAAGAATAAGTATACTCCTCAGCAACTTTTTGCAGCCTTCGATAAAGATTCCAATGGAAAAATTAATAAAGCTGAATTAGAAGAAGTATTCTCAAAGATGAGAATTAAAAATCTTGATAAAGATGATGTTGAACTTATATTCAAAGCATTAGACAGAGATGAGGATGGATCGATTGATGTTAAGGAATTCATCAAATATCTAGAATGATGAAATATTATTCATTTATAAAAATTAAAAAATAAAAATAACAGCCGATTGAGAGAATTGAACTCTCGACCCTTTGCTTACAAGGCAAAAGCTCTAACCACTGAGCTAAACCGGCTCGGTTGAATTTATTACCATAATTCTGGTTATCTGTTGCGTTCAAAAAATATGGTAAGATAATATACTGAGGAAGCCTTAAATATTATATCAAAAGCTTAATAGAAATATATAAAAATAATATAATGCATAGTGTAAGTGCATTAGTGACTCTAAATGTTATAATATTGGTACTTTTCTACAACTTATTTTTATTTATTCCATAAAATAATACTATTAAGAATTAAAAAAATTTTGAAAATTAGATAAATGGCTTTTTTATACTATAATTAAATCTAAAGTCTACATCTATTAGGTAGCACGAATTTTATGAATAAAAGTATACACAATCCTAATTTAAATTGTTCTGACTTAAAAGTTTTGATTTAAGAAACAAACAAAAGAACTATCCAAAAGTTGGGGATAGTATTATAATTTTGAGAAGAAATCCTTTGAGGAAAAAAAGAATAGAATTTATAAAGAATATATTGAAAATTTACAGGATAAATTATAAATCAATAACAACAATACATAAATCTCTTTATTATGGAAGAGCGAAGAACGGTTTAAGAATAACAAATTGAAGAGTAAATTAAAGATCCTGGAGATTTCAGTGTAGAGAAACAATAAAAGGATGAAAGAGTAATTAGTTATAATTCAAAATCGAAAAAAAAATATTAGAAGATTATTAAGAAAATGAAAAAACTTAAAAAGGCAGAATTAAAAAAGAAAAATAAAGATAATTAGTAATATGAATTAGAAATTGAAGGAGAAGATTATAGCGAGGTTAAAAGGAATTAAGAGAAATTGAAAATTTTAAAAGAGATAATGAGTTCTGTTCCTGCATATTTGTTAATGAGTCCAGCCTAAAAAAGGAAATATTTCAAAACTGTTAACATCCAATTTTATGAGATGTTATAGAAAGAACTAGGGTCATAGTGTTCTCACTCAAAAAGTGTACATTTCGATCTTGGCAGGAATAAAATCAAAAGTATTGTTCCTTGTAATATTTTTAGCGTTTAAGTCGAGTGATAATGTAATTGAATTGTCATAGTCATTGATTTGATATTTATAATTAATATAAATAAAGCAGAGAATTGATACTAAAAACTTTCATTATTTTAGGTTATTGTTGAGTCCAGGTTTAAAGCGACTACATAATATACAAAATTTACATACGCTCTAACAAAGCGAAGTTTAAGCTCTACGTATTTCCTCTCTATTCCTTCGTCTCCTTCATTCATCTTCTAGAATTCAATAGTAGTATCATCATCTTTAGGCATTGGATTGAAGGATTGACTAAGATTTGATCTTTTTTTCTATTCATTTAACAGATTCTCCAAATTAGAATCGGGAGAAATAGAGATGAGATGGTCAAGTTGATTAGTGTTTGGAGTGCATGAATGATTGGACTTACTATTCTAAAACTTTGAGTTTGAATTATAAGATATTCTACTTAGTCTACTTAAGATACTAGGTTGTATTCCAATCAAAACACTGTTATTGAAATCATTGTCAGAAACTGTATCATTATTACTGCTGATAGATTGTAATCTGTTTTTTTTGCGATTGATTTCAGGTGTGAGAGTCGATCTCTTTTTATCAGGCATTTTGAGTAAGGAGTTCATATCTTACTCCATAGATTGATTTAATTGAGAACCTAAAAGATTGTTGCAGGAAGAAAGATCTTCTTTGGATTTCTTAAACCTAAGAGTTTTAATATGATAATGTACAAAGAGGGTTTGCTATTAAGGAGATTACTGCTTGATGATTATCCTTCTCTATCAGTTTTCTGGGATATTATCCAATCAAAAATGAGTTCTTTTGATAGGTAATTATGCTCATTTGATATTTTTCTGAACAATGATAAACAATATTTATAATTTGGTTCTGACTTAAATGGCAATCCTTTAACATAATCCAAGTATCTAGCAAATTCAATAGGTAATCCTTAGCACAATTCATTAGTGTCCATTTTCATTTTTAATTGGCCAACTTAATTTATTTTATCCTCTTCTGAAGTAAACTGAAGATTTTACCATGGAAGCTAACCTAATATTTTAGTGCATAAATCAATACCTTTTAATAGGTAGATCAACATGTAACATAAGGATTCCATATCATCTCTCCTACTTAAGGATAATCCTTTGTGAGCATTGATACTTGCATATCGAGTGGTCCCTATAAATGGTTGTTTATCTCTTAGAGATCTAAGGAATAGGAAAGGCATTCTTACATATGTGATTCATTTTCATCTTTGTAAAACTTACTAATCCCAAAGTCTACAATAAACAGTTGATTTTCTTCATCTTCTTTGCCAACCAATATATTTTCTGGCTTTATATCCCTATGAATTACGTTACTGAATATAAAAATAATGTCTTTACTGTTTGTGCAAACTTTCTAAGATTATTATCATTTGTTCTGCAATATTGAGTACGCATTTTAATGAAAATTTTCGATAATTTTTAATGTAATGGGTCAAATCTCTTCCCAAATATTGAATCACTAAGTATGTTGAATCAACTTCCCTTCCTGACCAATAAAGTTTTGGAATGTGTTTTAAATGCTGCAGTTTTCTCAGAATCTCTGCCTAAAAGGATAATAAACTTTTATTTTTACTTCTCTTTGAAGACTAGACTCTTCCTTGTTTTCCTTATCAACCTTAATTGCGACAAAATTCCGAGTATTGATATCTTATCCCATATATACGACACCAAAAGAACCAGAAGAAATTCTCTTTTTCGTTATATATGTGTTGTTGATGAGCTTTTAATTATTCATTATATGAAATAATAATTAGTAATTTAAGGAGTGGCCACAGGTTCCTCAACTAAGGTCACTCTCAAACCCAAGCCAGTACAATAAAAGCCAAAATATTAAGCTCCTCCTCCCAAATAACCTATAAAAAAACAAACAAAAGCCAATGTCCCATAATAGCAACAAGCAAAATAATAATAACAAAAGCCTCCTGAAACTAAAGTTGTTCAATTAACAGAGTCCATTCTATCTGATAAATCAGAGCCTGATTAGTAGCAATTTAAATTGTAACAGGAACCAATCAAATAAAATGAGTTTGCATAAATTCATGTCCCTGTTTATGGAGAAGTTACAGTGAAGTATTCACACTATAATGAAAAGTTTCCAATCAAAGATGGATAATTATTGGCTAAGGCCATTGATGAGAAATATTGTTTATCCTTTGTTTTTCAGGGACAATACAAATTGATTTTAAAATCAGAGGACAAGAAAAAGACATTTGAATTCAGTCGTGGCGGTTGGGATGGATGCGAAAACGGCAAGACCTATTTTGTAGAAATTGAAGAAGACCCTATTCAAGAAGAATGGGATAGAAAGAATTCTAAACCTTATTAAGCTCCTAAAGATGAGCCTTGTCCATTGAAAAATAAAAAAGTGGAATTGATATCTTCAGAACTCAAAGGAATGAGCATAGATGAACTTAAGGAAAAGGGATCAAAATATAAAGAACTTATCGAAGCCAGAGACTTGGAAGATATTTTGTTCAAATGAATATACATATAATCCAAGTTTGGAACTCTATTATTAAAATTCTTTTTTTTTGATTCTCACCTAAAAGATGATTTCAATTCTATGGTTTTTTCTACCTTTTAGATTTGATAATTTTATAGATTCTTACTCCTAATATAAATGAGTTTCTTTATCTAGTAAGATGTAAGAGAAGTTTGCTTGGTGATCCATTGAAATTAATGAAAGAATTAATATCATCTATAGAGAATCGGAAATTAATTCCATTAGAGGTGTGAAGAATTTAGATAAAAATAACTAGTAGATTTAGGTAAATCTAAAATAAATTTGAATTGGTATAGAAATTAAACTATTTAATTGTTTTTTATTTCTTCTTAATGTTATTTTTATAACTGTTGGCATATTTAAATTTATGTTATTTAATTTGTAAGCAATATGGTTTTTGGAACATTTTATATGATCAGTAACTTTATTCGAAGTTGAACAAGTTTCGTGGATGCTCATCTATTAGAGTGCTAATATAATTACTTTAAATGCTAAATTATATATAGTATTAAAATAAATTTAATATTTAACTGCTAATTAAATGTCTAATAATACACCCTTTTAAGTATATCTTAGAGTAAAGCCCTTGTTAGATAATAAGTAATAATATTCGCAATTTCTAGTCAGGACAGTCTTATTTAAGAGTTGGATGAAAAGAGAATAGTAATTACCAAATAGGGTAGAAACAATAAAGAGTTTCATTTTGACCGTATATTCAATAACGAAAATAATGCTTAGATCTTTTCTGAGATTCTCTAAGTATGCTTTTTTTATCTAAAGTGATAGCATAATATCAATTATTTCCTTGAAGGCTATAATACAACGATTTTGGCTTATGGTATAACAGGGTCAGGGAAAACACACACTATTTTTGGCAATGAGAAAGACGAGGGACTTGCATTCTAATGTTTAAATTATTTAGTTGAAAAAACAAAGTATATAAGCAATTTAAGTTAGTGCTTACCCAAATGCATTGGTGGAGGTGAGTTTTATTGAGATATACAATGAAACTATAAGGGATCTCTTAAATACTAATCAAAAATCATTAGTAATTATGCAGGATAGTTAAAGAGGATAATATATATCTGGAGTATAGTAAATGGTTTGTAAGAATTGCGAAGAAGTGAAAGAGGTCTTGAACCTTGGCAATCAAAATAGAAGTCTGGCCCAAACTATATACAATGTCTCATCTTCTAGATCCCACGCTGTGATTCAGGTAAACCTATCCTATAAGATTGATAAGTATTAATATTATAATTATTATTAGTTAAATTCTAACTCCCAAATTGTTTATTGTAGATTTGGCAGGCTCTGAAAAAGTCTACTTAGAATAGAAATCAAAAAACCAGTAAGAAGGTTCTAATATCAACAAATCATTGTTGGCCTTGAGTCATTGTCTAACAATGCTCTCAGATAAAACAAAGAAAAATTAACACATTCCATATAGAAATTCCAAGCTTACCAGACTCTTACAGGACTCTTTGGGGGGAAACACTAAAACTATAATGATAGCATGTGTATAATAGAATAAGCAATCCTACGATGAGATTCTGAATACATTGACTTATTCTTAAAGAGCTACTTAAATCAAGAGACAGGTTCAAAAAGAGGTCACATCAATTCAACAGAATTCAAAATCAGAAGATCTGTCTCCCACTAATGAATCTTAACATTCAGGAGATACTTCCTCTAAATCAATTTATTTAACTAAAATTTACAATGATATCTACTAAAATGTTGAAGAATATTACGAGATTAACAATTCAATTATGGAAATTTAATCGTAAATTCAAGCAAATTCCTTAAAAATTGAAGAAACACAAGAAACTAAATAGGAGGATGAAAATTATATGAAATTGTTGGCTGCACAAAAAGAAAATCAAATAATTGAAAAACAACTATAGAATGCACTCAAAACCAATCTATAATAAAAAAATATTCTAAAGTCGTTACTTCTTTAGATTACAGAAGAGTAATAATCAACTATAAATTATTGGAAGTAAAGATTTGCAGATCTTTCCAAATAAATACTAGACATGAAATCTGATCAAGAGAAATCACAATAAGAATTAGTTTCAAAGGATTTAATCATAGCTTAATAAAAAACGATTATAGAATCCATTAAATTACAAAAAAATTAATCATAATATACTACAAGTGGAGATTCAGATCAATCATATCCTATTTCATTTTCATCTTCTACTAATAATTCCTAAATTAAGAAGAAGGCATCGATAACATAATAACCTGCTGAGGACAGACCAAGATTTGCTAATATTTCTCACATTAAGTAGAGATTATCTCCAAGAGAGAGATCTCCTGCAAGTAGTATTTTTGGAACTTCACCAGTTAGATCGCCTTTAAAACATCATTCAATATATAGAAATCTAAGTAAAAAGATAGAGTATAATTTAGATTCCATTTCAAAAGATGATTCAAGAGAGTTATCAAAAGATCTATCAAATCTTAGTATTCATAAAAAGTCACGAGTTGTGGATCCCTAGGTAACAACAATAAATTTATATGGAACTACTTACATCAATGTAATAGATTAAAAAGAAAATAACTGAAAATATTATTTATCTCATCTATGAATGTTTAATTTAATTTAAAAATTATAAAACTATATCCAATATCATAGTAATTTGAACACTATCATTATTATTGTATCATAATTAAAAATTATTAGGATAAATTTTTCATAATGATTAGTTGCCATTATGTTATTACTTTGATAATTACGATAATTAATAATCGTTGCAGATACATCTAAATTTCTATTTTTATGATTTGTAGATAAGAGTTTAGCTAATTAATCAAAAGGGAAATACTGGACAGAATGTTATGAAAATTGAGAGTCTTATGGTAGGTTTCTTGTTGTAACTTTTAATTTATCAAATTGAAATCTTGGTTGCATTAATACAATTTTGATATCAATTTTTGCAATATAATAATTCTGTAATGGTATTTATTTTAGATTAATCTAATAATACAAAAATCTATATTCAAAACAATCTAAATGGAATATAGCTTGTTTGTCGATTACAAACAACACAGATTTCGATTTAATCTTTGCATTTTTTGGATATCAGAGGAATCCAAAATAGGGGGAGAATAATTATGAATAAAATACAAGCGAGGATATATGTATTTGATCCATTTTTGAGGAGTGATTGAGTTGGTTTTCTTGTATTGCAAAACTTACAATAGATCTTAGAGGGTTATGAGATTTTAATGGGTTTTTCATATTCGTACTTTTCAAAATTATCATTGAGAGGAAAATTTGAAACCTAGAGAAATTTGTTATGATTGGTTAATGGAAGATTATTTTTTTCATTCGTGATTAAATAAGAATTAACGATATTTTCGACATCTGATTAAGTGCTGATTTGCTTATTAACGCTTAGTTTAAAAAGTTCTTGCTCTCCTTTTTTCTAAGCTTTGGAAGTTGGACTGTCTGGAATGTAAGAGAATGGCTAGGGAAGTTGATTAGGATTGTTTTAATCTTGGGATTGCTTAAAAGTATTAGCATACATGATAATTTAAATTTCTAGATTATAATAATTAAATGTAAAGGAAAACATGAGTTTATTTATGATGAAAAACTTGATTTAAAATAGAATTAATTTAATTTTAACAGGAATCACTTTATTATATTTAAAATGAGTTTGCAAAATCTAAAATGATTGATTATATAAAATGTTATTAATATATATCGAATTAATTCAGTGTATTCAGTCAGTCAGTTAATTAACAAAGCATAGCCACGCCTCTCTTCACCCAATGATGTTATGATTATTCAGTTGGCAGATTGACATTCATAATGAAATTAGTAGAATGACCAGTGGTGGAGAGAACACCTCTTCTTTCAGCAGTTTTGTAGACTGGGCAAACATATTAGTTTCTTGTGTCTACTTCCCCTTATATAGGTTTCAGCCAAATGATAGGTGCCAGAGTTGTCAGTACTTTAGGATTAGATTCCACAATCATTTCTCGACCATAATCCCATCTGCATCCTTCAATGAAGAGTCCAAAGATAAGAGTGCCATCTATAATGTAAATGATAATAGGTTACCGTTAACTTATCGAGGTAATTAATTAATTTCAAAATTGAGTTGTGGCTCTTCAAGAAATTGGAAATCAAAGTCTAATTTGTCTATTGCTATTGAGTATTTTCTCGCATGGTTTTGTAGGACAGCAGTCAAGAAGGATTGAGTAAAGAAGAAGCCAGAGATCCAATGGACATAAGGGATCTATTTATCTAGCCAATTTTGGAAGTATCTGATTCTTCTTAGGAAATCCTATAGATACGAAGCTAATGGTTTCAATGAAGGATAGCTATGTTTTTTCCATTAATCTGGCACCGCTCCAATTAGAAATGATTGAGTAATTTTTTCCAATTAATCAGACATGGCGGTTAAACCCTTTATGGCATTCAAAGTGTCAATAAATGATTACTAAATGATTGAGATCAATTTATTGAATCTGGATATTTCCTATTAGAAAACAGTATTAAAAGAGTTCTTATAATCATGAGGGTATTTAGCATTTGCAATTTCCATATCAAATTTTCTAGGGAAATTTGCAAGGTACTCTTCACATAATTATTTAAGGACATTATCTGCCTTTTTGGATTCATCATTTTATTAACCTTCACTATATGAGGATCCGAGAGTTTGTTACAATTTCCTAAGGATCTCATCAGTATATTGTTAATCCTTCATGATTTCAGCATTGGGATGGAATCCAAAAAGATGAGTAGGTTGAACTAGTGGCAGATTGTTCAATTGATTAATATATTCTTCATATGATAATCCTTCAATGATTGGAAAATCTTGAATTTAGAAGGTGTCTTATGTGACTTTATCAGTTAGATACTCATCTAAAAGAGCTCTCACCACTCTCCTGTCTCTCTCATCAGTCACTCTGCCTCCATAGTTGCATTCCCCAATTAGATAATGTAATGCATGGAATGGTATAGAGACGTTGGCAGCCATTTATTAAAGTTGTCTAATTGATATAAATAGATCGGATTGATTAAAATCATAATAGATATTAAATCCTATAGGTCCGTAATTTCTACGCTCTTATAATATAGCATGGAAAAATGATAATGCATAAAATAGTTTTGATAGTTTCTTATTTGAATAATCTAATTGTTAATAAAGAGCACTAGAATAACTGACCTATAGATTCGATTTGATTCCAGTTGGAGGTTCATTTGTCATCTTCACACTACTCTAAACAATAGATGCAGGCAAATCCTCACTGGGATACTAGTTTAACCAGAGTCTGAAATGATTGTGCATTTTCTATGTTTGTATATCCTCTATAATCTTTTCTAATTTTGGCATCCATGATGGATATAAATGACAATTTTATAATATCACCCAAGTTCCTGATTACTTTGCATCTTCAATTTCCTTTTCTGCAATCACTCCTTATCCTTAACCCAATGAAACAGATCTTAATTAGATATCCTTCTATTTAGCAAAACTAAGTAAAGCATTCATTGGATCAGTACCAGGCAATACAAATAATAATGGCGATTTTGGATTGCTACCCTAAAATGATTAATTGAGTGAAAATGGTGGGGGTTAAGTGTATTTATCTCCTAATTCAGAAGCAACAAAGTCTTGTATCACTTTAGGTAGTTTACCAGGTCCTAACGCTTTAATAATACACATCCTCTAGATGGGTGTGATGACAACAAAAGGTTCTGGCAATCTAACTTAATGACCTTCAGGAGAGTTGAGTAATTCCATCCAGACTTCAGGGAAATTATGCATACTATCCACAATTTATGATAATTTCTTGTTCACTTTGATTAGCACTTATATTCTTGCCCAGGCTTGGTTTGGTAACCATTCTTTGTAAGGATTTTCAGGTACTTCAGTGGGAATAGTTATTTATCTGATAATGAAGGAAAATTCTTCAAAATCTATTTATTTCTTTTATTCAAGAATTTTGATCAAAATAATGAAACTGTAAAGCAATTTATCTTTTTCAAATAATCCCCGGCAAACTTAATTATACAATAAATGGAGTGTCATATTATTAATGTTATTTATTCTTTATTGAATACGTTAACTTGGTTCACTTTTAATGAATGCTTCCTAATACAAATTTAATAACCAAGATAAGGAGTATTAATACATAGAATCTAATTAGGCCAGGGATATAACTGCAAAGAAGAGCAAAGCTCCATGAATAGCAATTGGTTTGTATTATACTCTGGCTTCATCTATCTTTCTCTCTGTATATTCTGATGTCTCCTATTTCTCTTCAATATCTTTTGATTTTTCTTTGGAAGTCTATAAAATTTAAATAGCTTCCTCATCATTCAAAATATTTTCAGCCTTATTTAAAACTCTCAGAATTTGATCCTCTATTTTTTACAACTCCTGTTTGTTTTTGTGTTACTATAAAATCTACCTATTCTTCTCTTCTTCTAAATTTGGTTACTCTTTGCTAACACATATTTCTAGTAATTGATCCTCTAATCCACTTTGAGTAATGGTGAAATTAATAATTGTCACTTTAGTGCTTATTTCTGGAGTGTAGTGAGGATTGCTTAATTTAGTAGTCATGAACAGATTGAACAATTTATTATAGGGTATAATGTTATCTCCAATTCTGACTGACATAACTCCAGCACTTTTGAATATTTACTTGAGTAAGACAGAATCAATAGTTGAATCAATATCCTCATATACATTTTCAATGAGTAATGGTTATCCAAATTGCAATGTATTTTCTAATGTTCTCAAGAAATCACTGTCTGTGAATTTAACTAATTTTATATCTTTTTCATTTAGTCTAATAAATCTATTGCCCTGTCCTTGTGGGTCTATTAAAAGAGGGAATCTTTGGCATCTATTCATTATAATTCCATTTTCAATGCTGAACTAATCACTAGGTAATCCATTCATTCTCCATTGTCTAATCAAAATTGGTTATCCAAGAATGTTCTGTAATGAAAAGTTTTCAGAGAATTACATATTACCCTTCAAGTTATCCATCCACATTTTGATGGTTTTCTATCTGAAACTATTACTAAAGACCCCTAAATATGCAATAGTTCCTGATGATAGTATGATATCTCCCAATACTTATTTTAATCTCTATTCATAAATGGCAGATGACTTACTCCATCTCTCTCTTTCTCCTCCCAATCCTTCCATCAACTTTGTAGCTCTCTGCAACTTGACTTCACACTCCTTAATATCTCTATCTAATTGTTATTGATTATTCATAGTTTCCTAATAAGCCAATTCTAACTTATTAATCTCTGCTGTTAAAACAGATAAATCCTATTATAGAATTTTCAATGACTCTGACAATCTTGCTACTTCCTATTGTGATTGAAGATACTTTTCTTGTTTAGGTCTAACAATAGTGAGTACCTTTTCATACTCATCTAAAGCTAGAACCCATTCGCATAATCCTTTAGCAGCAGAACTCGCCTTTTCAACTCTTTTTGGATTGAATTCGTCCTTCTTGGAGACATAATTATTTCTGACTTTCTACATAATTTCAGGTTTAATATTATTTTTATCATAGCCAATCAGTTTCTATAAGAAATCTTTGTCTGCTAAAAACTTCTTACTCGCCTCCCAATAATCCATAAACCTTTCTTTTGGATTCTCAGGTTTAGGCATACTTATAGGAGGGACTCCACACAAGACGCAAACAGATTCCATAACTAACTTAACAGTGATTGGTGGTTTCAACATAGCCTTAATTGAATTAATATCAGCAGGAGATAGGGTATTTAAAGCTTCTTCTGCTTATTTTAATTTAGGCTTTGCTACAGATAATTCTTTCTCGCATTCTTAATTGATTATTTCAGCCTCTTTAACACATTCTGAAACTCGAGCCTCCTCTTCTTGTACTTACAATCTCTTAGGTTCCATAGCATCTGCCTATTATTTGATAATGACTGCCAATTTACTGGCTTCAATATTCATTTCAACTAATTTAGGCTATTTTTCGATTAATTCAGCTTCCATTCTCTTAACTTCCTCTGAAGTTTGATCAAGTTTGGTGACTCCATTCTTATACATATTTCTAGTATCTTCCAACTTAGTTTTCTCTACATGCAAAACAGCTTAAAATGTCTTCAATAACTCAAAATAACTACTAGGAGTAACATAATTGTGTCTTCCTTCTTGAGATTTGAATTACTCACTAATAGTCTGTAATGATGAATGCATATATTTGCACTAGGCAACCAATAATCTTTATTGACTATCCTTGATCTGTATATCCTCTAAGAACTTTCTAGCTACAGCTTCTAAAGCATCTTCAGGCCATTAATGGAAACAATCAATTGTTGCACAATTTACAATGCTCGGAAACATGCGTATTCTCGATCTTAAAGTATCCCCAATGGGACTCATAACCAAAACAACATGAAGTTTCTTCTTGACACATTCAATAAAATAATCATAGAATTGAGCATTATTCCCATTATCAAACAATTACTATTTGCCTTCCTTCTTTGCTTTCAATCTAAGTTTATCTATTTATGGAATGAAATCTTCCTATCCAAAGAGATTTGGAATGTCACCTGTATTAAGTAGATTATTAACATCCTCTAAAATAAAGGGTTTCTTGATTTATGAATCTGAAATACAAAGAGTTATCTCCTTATTGTCTGCTCCAGCATTTATCATTAATTTCTACATTGTTTCTTTCCATTGTTCATAAGTATATCCTTTGCCTACTTCAATTTGTAAGAATTCTTATTCTCTAATAAAGCATGCCAATCTAGTTAGACTCTACCTACCAGATCCTCCTAATCCAATCAATAACATGTGACCTTAAGTCATATTTAAGACTCTTTGGATTCTTAAGAGATGGTCAACACAATAATCAAACAAGGCCAAATTCAATGGCTTTTTTGTATTGGAATTAAGATCTTCCAAATAGAATTGCAACTTTGAATACACTCTAGTTGATGACATTACCTCTGTGTATTTTCTTTCTGAAACATTTGGTTCTTCTGAAAGAATGTCTGACCAAACATAACTCTTTATATTGTATTTAGTAGTTGCAACATCATCGTATGGTTTAATCATGTGTTTTAGATCATCTCTTAATTTTAGTTTAATTGAGTTTGCCAACATTAATGAATATTGTTCATGATCAACCTATTCCAATCTATCAAAAAAGGTTCTTGTGGTTTCATGAAGCCATAATCTCTAAACTTTCTTATGATCAAGTGATAATTCCTTTGAATTTATCACCAAAGTCATCCCTTGTACTACTCGACTGATGTCTCTCATATTAAGGATATACCATGACTTTCGTGGAGTTGCCTTTAATTAGTCTCGAATCTATGTATATAAATCAATTGTAGCTTCAATAGCATATTGGAAACTCTTCCTAATGTCATTATCTGTGTTTTCTATTTTAATATTATTCAAATGCCAAGAGATAATGGAATTGAAGATGTGTACAATGTTGTTGGTGTCAGGAGTGACAATGGATACAATTTAAAAGAATCTCAACAATCTCTATGTCACAAAGCTTCTTCCACCTCCTGGCAATCCCATTGATGCAATAACGTTGCAATCCAAGATGTTCATGAATTATCTGTCATGTCCATACCACCCTTTGGTGCCTAAAAATTGTCTTATCAACTCCAAAGGAGCTTGAGTACCGTATTTATCGGGGGCAGGCATATTTAAATCATCGATGTAAATGAGTCCGATGAATCCCAATGGTGGCCCATAAAAACCTTTTCTTTTCCTTTCGACCTTAGAATCAATAATCATTTGTGTTTTGTTAGCACTTGTAGTGGCTGAGAAATTGACAAATATATTTAAGTAGTTTTACAATTATGATATGTGTTTTCGGATATAACAAGTCTTACCAACTCCACTTGGACCAATTATCAACAAGGGGGAGTGACGATTTATGCATTTGTCAATTAGTGCTGTGATTCTTAAGGATTCAGAGGTCTCAACCAGTATCTCCTGGTAGGTTATATTTTCTGGTATTTTTGAATCTTGAAGCAATTCTTTCCACATTCTCCATTTGAGTAACTCAGAATCATAGAAGAAATCATAGATGTTGGTATTTGATAATTCTGGAATCTGGGATTACTTGTCTATTTTGATGACAACATCTTTTTTATTCTCATTTCTGAGAGGTTCCTTAATTAGTTTTTTGAGATATTAATCAAAATGTTTTCTACCTATTTCATCCACAGAACTGCCGACTGTCCATACAACAGAATACACGAAGAATGCATCAATCAGAATGCTAGGATCTGCTTGTTTCTTTATAGCTTCAGGATGTGTTTAGATCAATTGAATCAACATTGATAAGGTATGAATGCAAAATGAGTTTTCTGGTACAGATTCATATTCATGACATTTTTATTTAATGAATTTTTGAGCTTTTTCCATAATGGTTTCAAAGAGATCTGAAATTCTCATGAGAATGCCTTAATCCACATTTTGAACTTCTTGTAATTATTTCAAAAATACATTAAACCATCCCAGTTAATCAGGCTGTAAATATACCATACCACATCTACTAACAGTTGCAGGAGATGCCTATGTTAAATCCTGAACTTCAAAGATGATTGTCATTCTATCAGTCATAGCAATGGTCTCTCCACTCATTAGACACAGTTTCTTATTATCATCTAAGACTGTATTCATATTTTCAATCCATGCTGCATCTACAGGGCCATCGAAGACCAAAAATTGTCGATCCTAAGAAGTGGATGTAGCACATTTACGATATATTTCACCCAATACTCCTTCTGTCCATTCCTTACTGACAGGATCAGAGTATCCATATAATTAGTTTAATGTAATTGACTTTGGATTTAGCACATGATATTAAACACATCTTTCATCTTACAACCCATTTTTATGGCAGTAGGTTAGAGTAGATGCTAATACTTAATAACAAGAAGTTTTGCCACTCATAGTCTGTCCAACCAACATTAGTCCATGTCTACAATTGATCATCTCATATAATTGTAACACTTTTCTTTTGAAGTTAGGTACAATCTGCATGTTCTAAGATTACAAGACTGAATTCATAGCTTCTTACAGATTCTTATATTCAACTGGTTGCACTTTGACATCTGGAAAGAGATCACTCATAATGCCATTGAATAACATCACATCATTAGTTAAGAACTTTGGTAAATTGATATCACCAATGGCTCTGTAAATAAGAATGTCTTCTCTTTCAGTAGATTTACGTTTGAGTAATTATGCAGCTGTCAAAACTGCTTTGACTGCTCTCATACCATAATCATAGTGATCTTGACTTGACAGTTATTCTGAACATAATTTATATACAGCAACGATCTTTTTAGCCAATGCTCTTGCCTCAACAAATCCAAATGAATATAGAGATATTTCTGCAATGAGAGCATAGTCTGGTACCATCATAGCACATGGTCTAAAGAGTGCTTTCAAATTATCTGGTAATTCTGATCTACCTGCATATCCAGGATTCATTGTAATAAAGATGTTGCATGATTATTGAATATGTATTTCTGTGCCTTCAAATTAAAATGATTCAATCGACATTGACTTAGCTTACTGAATTTTATAAGATTTATTATGCAATGACAGACAAGACCTCCAATTCTATTTCTATTAAATTCATCAAAACATGACCAAGCACCAGCACTTGCTAGTCCTTTAAAGAACTTGGCCATAGCATGAGTATTCAATCCCTCACCACAGTTAAATACTATACATTATACTGCTACTGCTTTGGCTAAATCCTTTGTGGATTCTGTCTTACCAGTACCAGCTGGTCCTTCTGGTGCTCCTCCCAAATTCAAATGTAATGCCCCAACTAGAGTTCTATAACATCGATCCGTTAATGGAGTAATAACCAATCTGCTACCTATACCCAAATACTCATTTCCATATGGAATAGAAGTTTAGACCATCTTGACTGAAACACTTGTGTCTTCCTACATGTAATATCTCAATTATGAAGTCCATTCGAATATATTTGTGTCTTTCATTTCCAATTTTATCAGATCTTATAAAATATCATTATTATGCACTTCCAACACTATAAGAGCGGACAACAATAATCTTTCATTTTATTATTAAGATTCCCTTACCTAAGATACAATCTCATTCAAATGATTAACTCTATCACTCCCAAATTTATTAAGAGTCTTTCCAGTTCTTATAGTACTTTCGATTTAATTGGTAAAATTAATGCAAGCACAAGTCAATACACATTGGCCAGGCCATCTACGAATCCATTTGATTAACACTGGCAATTCTTGTAATTCTCCAAAACATTATCTAATTAAATGAGATATGCTGTTCCTCATCTCTTCTTCTACCTTCAGCAGCCATTTCTCTACACAATTCTTGAACTCTTTCGGGGATACCTTATTATCAAAGTTGACTTCTTCTTTTTCGACACTTTTCATTCCTAAAATATCTGTATTTGAATTGAATATTAATTCCTCAATCCCCTCAAAACACTTTCTCATATGAGGTTACACTAACAGAGGGTCTCTTGTTTCTGCCAAAATGTTAATCAAATCATCATTTGATAAGAAAAAGAAGCGTGGGAATTCCAATCGCTTAATTTCCAAATGATTCTCTAATCCTTTCTGTATTTCCTCTATTAATCTTAATGATGTTTATAGGATATCCATTAAATTTGGAATCTTCTCTAAGTTCAATGCTAACGGTTCCATTTCAACAGCCTTTGTAATTATATTCCAATTACTACTCACCTTCTTGAATTTTTCACTCTCATCATACAATGTCTTTATTATATCCTCAAAACTGAAAATCGGTTCCAAATATAAGTACATACCTTACACCTTAATCCATAAATCTAAGATTTGCTATATAAACATCATTAATTTCTCCCATCTTATGGCATCTTCCTCCATAAATTTAATCAAGGGGTTAGCTCTGATTGTTTAGGATTTGATAACATGGTCATCCAATAAGGTTTGTATTTCCTCTACACATTATCCCTACAGGATAAGAACTCCTCTTCCCTTGTAATTCAAAACAACCAATTTAATGCTATCCCATTCCCTTTTCATTTTGACCAATGCATTTTCTAGGGTGAATTCCTTGCTTGCATTTTCTGAAATTTCTTCCACATCCCTAATAAACTCTACGACCTTCCAATTATTCAACTCCCTCAAAGACACTTCCTTATAGTTGAAAGTCTATGCTATAATAGTTTAAACTGATTTCCAATGTCTTTCACGTAGACCTGGATTGGAGAGTACTTCTAAAGTCTTACTGTTTTAACTCATGATTTCAACATCCTCTGTGAACTCCCCCAAGACTCTGAATGGAATGGTATTTTATTTGAACAATTTGCTGAGTTTAACTATTCCTTTTTTTTGATTCTTCAAAATCGTCTCTACATCACCGTAATTAACATCCATAATAGGGCCATTCATCCATTTCTTCTTTTGATCCATATACAACCCTATTGATTTCCACATTTCTGAATATGGCAATATTTAAGTCTGCAATTTCACAAAATTTTCAAATTGAGATGGATATCCAAATAATGTCAATTCCTTTTATATAATCTCTTGCATTTCTGTAGCAGCATCAGCTAATCTCTGTTCGAATTCTTCTATGTCCTTAACATATCCTTTGTATTACGATCTTTCAGTGAAGGAGTCAAGATTTTTAATTTCAACACAATACTTAGCCACTCTCTCCTCAAATTGGGATCTCTGCTTCTTGAGTTCTTCCTCCAATCTGCCTCTCTCAATTTGATGTTTCTCCTCCTATTCAATCAACTCCCTGTCGAGTTGAGCTGGTCTATGATACAATTCTTCTGATAACAATAGCAACTATTCACTAATAACATAATCTTGCTTCAATAGAAACATAACTTTAATAAAGATATCTGTCGTATTAGTTTTTATCCTCACTCTCTCCTACCCAACATCTGTAATGTACTTGTCCATGGCTTCCACATCTTCAGGTGTTTTAAGTGATCTTCTGATGTATGTACTAATCTGTAAGTATCTATCAGATATCACTTTAGATTGATCTATCAAAACAGATTCAAAATTGATGAACAGTTTATCCTTGTATTCTTTGATCATTTATTTGACACTTGAACATACAGACTCACAATTTACTTGAAATAGAGGGAATTGAATCGTTGATGGAATTTTATCCAATAAACTTCTATATTTATTGAGAATCTCCATATACATTTTGAATTCTTCATTTGAGATAGCTTTCTTCAATGATTTGATTTCCTTCTCGTAGACCTTGTTGAAGAATTAAGTGAATTGTTAGAAATAGTCAAGGACCTGCAGAGTCTTCCTGTAATGTTCACTAACATGTTTTAAAATCCTAGCTTCTTGAGCCAAATAACACCCTTCTTCTATTGATGCAATTGTCATGTACTTTTTCTCTTAATACACTTCTCTCTACTCCTCAGATGCCAACAATAGTTCTGGATGTTCTTTCTATTACTTTTCCTCCACTTTCACTTGTGGCCAAAAGGACTTGAAGAACTTCTAGAAGTCCTCTTTAGTCATACCTCCCATGTCTTGGTCAAAATTAAATTAGAAATTTCTCAATGGAACTGGTTAGATAGTCTCTTTGGGATTGTAAGTGACTTTGGCAAATTTTGGATGTAAGGAATTTATCAAATGAGATTATGATACTTCTGAAGGCATCCACAAATTCATTCTTAACTGATTCTTCATTCTCCTTCAATTTAACGAATTCATTTTCTATCACCAATTCCAATCGGATGAAAGGATCATAAGGTTGTGAGAGCAAATTCCACTTTGGAGGTATGAATTCTCTGTCCTTCATACTTTGAAAAGCCTGGATCAAACTACTAAAATTAGTATCACTTAGCTCGATATTATATGATTTAGGAATTTCGATATTGAGAATGTGCTATTCAAAATGCTGTAAAGACCTATCTATGTAACCTCTCAGCTGCAATTGCAATAAAACAGTAGCATTGGATGTGACTGCTTTCCTCTACTCCTTTTCTAATTTCTTATACAGTATTTCATCTTGCTATTACCTAACATCCTCCAATTAGAATTAAGACAACTTATCTGACTCTATGGGATTTGGGTTTTGTAACATTACATGGTATTCTGTAAAGGCATTGAGTGCTTGACAGGAATCTTTGAAACGATCAAAGTTGTACGGTTGAGTAGTTTTAGAAGCATAGAATTGCAAGGCCTCCTTAATAGATATGTAGCAAGATTGTTCTTCGCCCTTATAAATCACGTTATCCTCATCTATAAAATCCTCCTCTGGGATGATTTCAAGGACTGTTTATCTTAATGATTATTATTTAAACTTAGGCCCAGTAATAGTCCATGAACTTTTGTATTACTTCTACCTTAAGAACTTCTAGAGCTTAATTATCAGCATAACTCCTCTAAACCATACGTGTTCTAAGAGACACAGAACATTCAATTTGTAGATGGTTTGAACTCTTTGGAATTCCTGGAATGTAAAGGTATAACCCAATCTAGCCACTTATTTCATTTTGCTTAAATCACATAATTTAAAACTGTTAAAATCTTAGATCCAATCGGACAATCCTTAATTTATTGTTGAGATCAAAGTAAGGTTGTTTTTGCAGAAATCTTTACCTCGCTACACAAAATCATGCCAATCTGGGAATAATTTCATGTTGTAACCTCCCTCTCTGGCTATTCTCTAGGCTGAATTTATGAAAGTTCTTGGGAGTAATGTGATGTGGAGTCTCTTTCTTTCTTCTGGTGACCTAAGTATATAATCCAGCATTGCTCTCTTCATGTATTCTCTAAATAATTCCAAGATCTCCTTAACAATAAATCTTGAGCAATCTTCATTTCGTAATAATTCTGGTTTAATCAAATTGAATGCATTTAAAATCCATTCTCTTTTGAATTTTGGAACTTCATCATTTCTGATATGGTCACCAGATATGTAATTACGATATCTTTCTTCTGAGATGAGTACTTCTTTGAGAATGTTTTCTGGCCAGAACTCTCTATCGATGTGGATATAATAGTCTTTACATAAAAGAGATGGATCATAATTGCCATTCATTTCAGCCAGCATCTCATTGAATTTCCTAAGAGACAATTCCATTTGATCTATATTTTCATCATTGTCATCAAAATATTCAGGATATAAACAAAGTGACACTGGTTCTCTGGTCAAAGCATCATTAGCTCCTGAATTGATACCTGTTTTGTCTCTTCCTTATTTTGGAAACAATTCATTCACAATAGCCAATTAGATTGGTACTTCTCCATCTGTCTTTTCAGCTGAACTCATTGTTTTTTACAAATCGATGATCTTGAGCAAATGTTCCTTTTTCAACTTTGCTGAAAATTGCATATAAACTCCAATCCTTTAGATTGGTGAATAATAGCCTAGATCTCCGAATCTTGCAAACGTAGCTGCCACAGTTCTTTCATTTCTATCGAAGAGTTCTTCATATGGTAGATCAAGAGCACTGACATTAGTGAATTTAGTATATATCTTGAAGAAGGACTGTGGAGCAGTGGTTTTTGAGGAGATAGGCCTTTGATGACTCCAATTACTTTGAGGTCTTAAAACTTATTAATCAATCATGTCTGTAATTTATTTTTTATGTTTTGTAGCAGGTTTTTGAAATACATCAAGAGTAGCACTTTGGATGCGATCTTACTTGACTCGTTTGCTTTCGGCTACATCAAAAGCCTAAGATTGAGGTCTCTGAATAGATGTCATAGGTCGTTTAGAAATAGGTGGTCTGGATAATGTTTGTTGAGCAGATTGTAGTCTCTGCTATTGTTCTTAAATAATAGTGAAGTCCATCTTTCCAATTGATGTCACAGTTTAGGGACGAGGTTGCTGTGCATTGTTTTATCTGGACACATCAATTGATTATTATTTGGAGGGTTAGTTTGAAATCATCTTACCTCCGAGAGAGGATAGAAATTCATAGGGCTTCAGAGTGCCGCTTATCGTTTCGCAATCCATTTGATATTCAGTTTCCTCTTTCTTGACAGCAGATGACACTCTTTTCAATCCTATGGTTGTGTTTTTACTTGCTTCCCATAGACGCGCATTCACATCCACTGTGCATGAATATGGCTATGCTATTCTGTAATTGATGTACTTATTCATCATTACTGCAGGAGTCTAAATCAATTTCAAATTTATTTTACTTCTATCGTACTCTATGGTCTTTGATGCACTATTGTCTATACTTCGCTATGCAAGGGCTATAATGTTGATGTTTTAGCCCTATTATCAGTCTCTTCGATAGAACGTTGCGATGCACTTTTACATTCATATAACTGCAGTACTTCTTCATATTGGGTAAATGAAATTTCTGCCCGCTCTAATTGTACAATGTGTACCCATTCGGCATAGCAACTCGCTTAACAGCAGACGAAGCTCTATTTCCACTTGATTATGCTCTCCGAGGATTCATTAATTAATTAATTATATAATATTCACTTATATAATTTCTTCTACTTTATCCATAACCATTGTTTTCTCCATTGTCTTCTGAGATCTGTCGTATAGATTGTTATTCAATAAATTGATTTGTTATTAAAGGAGATGGAAGTACTTTACAGAAAAGTATAATTTTATTTGCTTTATTGTAAATTGATATATTTGGATTCATTTTTATTAAGAATATGATCTAACATGTTCATATTAATATTCATGCTCTTCAGTATATATATATTTTGATTGTTTGATATTCTAATATGTTTCATTCCTTCTTCTTACACAATTTATGAAGAATTTTCGATAATCTACTCTTTATCTTACTCTACTGTTTGAAATTCCTAGCTTAAATCTTTTCCATTCGTTCTTATCGGGCCTAATACATTGATACTAATATTCATGCTCTCATAAAACATCCATTTTTTATATGTAATCAATCATTCACACTTGAGTTAGTTAGGTTGTTGTACTTAAATAGAAAATTTCTCAAATTAAAAACTATTTTATACTTGATTTTATTTTTAACAGAAATTTATTACATGTACCCAGAATATTGTGTTGCTCAGAGACAATAGCCCTACCCTTTACACAAAATTACACAATCATATAACCCAGTCGTGCAGAATGAACCTAGACCCCGGTAACCCAATGAAAATCCAAAGGATTATATGATCACAGCATACACTTCCATTAATCATGTTATTGATATCTCTCCCACATCCTCCATCTATAGACTGGATCCTTTTGCCAAGTATTTGTGTTGTTGGACCAATACTGTGGGATCCGAAGAAGTAAGTGCTATACAAGAAAGAACCAAATGGAAACACCCAAATCTGGTCTCTTTCCTCTTCTTTGAAGAATAAAGCGACAAATTTAGCCAAAGCAAGCAACTCAAAATCTTCTATGAGTACCTCCCTTTGGACATTAAATAGTTGATTGAGAAAAGATCGAAAACACAAGAATATGTCCCTGAGGAAGAAATATGGAAGATGATTTCAGGATTATGTGAGGCCTTTATATTTCTCCAAAAAAGAGGAATCACCCACTCTGCCTTGACACTAGAATCAGTCTACTTCGATGAAGAATATTTGCTCTACCGAATTCAAGATGTCAGTCCTTTCAGAGCCAGAGCACCTCATCTATTTGAAAACTAATACAAATCCCCAGAATCAGGAGGCAATCTTCGAGTCAATAGATTTAAGTAGGACGTATTTGGATTAGGGTAAATTATTATTTCTATATGAATTAGTATGATCATTTTGTCTCTATGTCTTCTCAAAAACTGTGATTATCTCTTTGAAACAGGAAGTATCAGTGTCATTCAACTGAATGATTGTTTGGATTAATTGAGATCGCTTTATCCCGGGAGAGTTGACTAGACACTCAAAAAGATGCTCCTTATTGATTTTAATTAAAGACCAGATTGGTTAGAGATGTAGTAGTTATTAGGCAATTTGAAGGATATGCAATTTACTAATTTGGATCTTGGCTTGAGTAATAAATCATCGATTTTAAATTCCTCTTTTTAGTTACAATAACAATAATAATAACAATAACAAGTATATAAGGCCTATGACTAATTAACATTAAGTTAAGAGAATAGAGAGATCAGTAACAATAATAATAAATTTACCAGTTCTATCAATAATAATACTACAATTAAAACTACGAGTACAGATTCTGTAGACTAAAAACTTATTAATTTAAATAAAAGAATTCAAGAAACTCTATCAAAAAGCCTAAATAAAAATATTAGATGATTTATATTAAATTGCTACATAATATTAATTATAAAATGATTTTTATAATTTTATTGGTCATTATAAACAATTAACTATGCTAGTCAAGGATATTTGAAATAAAAGAAGATGATGGTAAGCTCAAAATGGAAACTATGAATGGATTCGAAATTGAATTATTCTTCGAATTAAGTTTATACATTAGCTAATTGAATTTAATTTAAACCTCAAAGTGCACTTAAAATTGTAAGGATTGTACTAGACGTCAGTGTTATTTAGGTAATACAGAACTAGATTACTTTGAAATTAAAATGTATGATTTGGACACTTAATCAATGGTTCTTTAGCCTTTAATATATTTAAATGATTAAAATTAGAACCACTCCTCTTCTCTATTATCTTTGTCGAATCCTGTACATCATATAAATTCTTTTGTGAATGATGGCTTTTAATTATGTTAAAGTAAAACAGATAAAACATTTGAAACCTCATTATAAATGAATTTGAAAGACATCCCTCTCTAAAAAGTATTATTGTCACCAATTTTATCAAAAAAAAGTTACACTACATAAATATAAATAAATTACTTGAAATTTGGAGATACCTAGATTGATATATCATCTCACTTAATTTTTCTTAATCTTGGACAAGAATAACTCTTTAAGTTCGATCCTCGTTTTAATGACACATAAGATGAATTAAAATTTGGGAAAATATAATAAAACTCAGAATTCAATCATTTTCCTGATTAGGTTTTTAGTAATTTATAATCAGAGTTTGAAAAAGCGGGATTCAATTTTATAAATGTCGAGGGTAAATTTATATTGGCAGGCAGAGGTTTAAATGAAAGTACTAATATTAAATTAGATTCGAAGTATGATTTAAAATTTTTCAATAAAGAAAATGAAGAACATCCAATCATTTTATCCCCAAATCAATATGTATAAGAGTTCGATGGTTGGCAGATGCTTAAGTTTGTTATAACGAAAAATATCTAATCAATAGTTCTGGGATCATCATTCTTCGAGAATAAGAAAGTGTAATTCGATTTTAAAGAAAACTTTGTTACTATTTAGAATTAGTTTGATGAGAGATGTTTTTAATATGAAAAATCTACTCTTTATTAGCAAGAAACACTTGTATTATAGGTATCAATTCCATTAATTATTTTGCTGGCATTATTTTTAATAAAATATTAAAATAATGAAGCAAGCCCTGAGTATTAAGGAGAAGATCCTATTAAAATGTGAAATTCGAGTATTTAACTTATGTTTATTAAAATAATTACAAGTAGATTAATTATTAATATCATTAAGAGATCTTCGCCTATATTCTTGAAATCAAAATTTTTATTCTTATAATCCTTCTTTCAATAATTAAATTAATATGATGTGGTTGCATTAGTATCAGATTAAGTAATTTGAATTATAATAGAAAAATTATGAATCTTGAATTAATAGAGTATAATTTAATATATATATAGATATTGATTTGATTTATTAAAGAGAATAAAATAACAAAAGTAAAGCCTTTCTATTTCTATAATAATAATTATATTAAATTTTATAATGAATGGATCAAAGTCCTAATTCTTTAAAATTGGGATTTGGTCTTGAGTATTCGTTTGTTAAGAAATATCTAAAATAAGCTTATTTGATTACTCTGGGAAATACTTTTTGGCTAAGCCATATGAGGCATTCATTCTTACACATAATTAGAAATAATTTCTAGCATCTAGACATTCTGGTACAAATGAGTCCTCAAATAGACCGAATTGATTCTTGCAATGTTGTGCCATTCTATCATAGAGATGACAAGCTAATAATTGATTGGCCTACCATATCATGTATGATTACTTTATATTCGACAAACTCAAATTTGAGATTATCCAACAACTTCACATGGTTTTTTGTTAATGTTTATAAATTAATCATGTTTCTAAACATGAAATCTAATAGTAAAGATTTCAAGAGTACCTTCTTCTTCCCAAACTTCATTATAGATAGGCATCTTTGTTTATTTGGATATATTTAATAATCAATTAATATTTAGATAACTAATTTACTAAATTCATTTCATAATCATTAATTTAATTTTTTATTGATGGATTGAAGAGTTTTTATATTATCTTTTAGAAAGAGTAGGTTTGCCTACCATTATTCTAAGACTTACTCGTTACTAAAGAGTAATTCAATCCGCCCATCATTTTAAGTTATAAGAGACATAGGCCAAAACAAAATCTTACAAACAGCGCTTTCCTATTTACTCAAAATGTATTTGCATTAAATTTGTTTCTTTATTGAAATTGATTATTGGATAGTGCTTGGAATCATTGCTCTCATAATTTCCTCTAACTTTATTGTAGCATCAACTTACTAGATAATAAATATAAATTTACATTTACTCTCATCTAATTCTTAAATTCAATACTATCTAGGTTTTTGGATAGACAGATGATTCTTGGACAGAACCCACAATTAGCAGGATTTGAGCAAGTAAATGGATCAAATTCTTATTTAGTTAAGTTCGGTTTGGTAGTTGAGAATCTTTTGTAAATCTACTACCCTTTTTATAATGGTTTAAGTATTTTCAGAATTTCCTATTCAATTGGTGTTAATTAATTTATAGTATTCTAAACTTTTTAAATTTCTTTTGTTTGTCCATTATTAGTTGATGAATTTGCAATGAATGATTTTAATTGTTCTTTATTGGATGTTGAATCAAAAGATTTGGACTTTTTTTGCTTAGATAACTTTTCTGACAAAGAATCTTTTGATTTAAAAAACTATTCATTTTTATTTTTTTAAGTTGATGAGGGTATTGAAACTTGATTACTGAAAAATAATGACCCATTTGAAGATGGCATCTTTTTGTATTTCTAATTTATTTCAATCTAATTTTTGAACTAATCCATAGATTATACTTCATTATTTGAAAATCTTTTAGTTTAGTCTGTTAACGGGATAGTAGAATTGTCTATTTATTTAATTGTTTTTAAATTTAAAATATTCTTAAGATCTATGTTCACAGGACTTGGGTCGATCTTTTGTTTCTGATCCATCTTTTATCTGTTTCTTTTAGAACTTAGTTATTCTTCAGTTATGGTTTGCAACCGTAAAAATATATTTTACTATGGTGATAAATTATCTTAAATGGTTAATGATTATTATGGTTGAAACTTCATTGTGTGGCCATCAAGAGATTTACCTGACTGAATTAAGGCCAAATTTAACTCTTGAAAGTGTTGCAATGTTGAATCCTCAGAAGTGCATTATCCTTCAGAGTATTTGGTTTCCATTTCAAAATTTTTAGATTAATATGTTTATTGAAACTAATTCAACTTGGATTAAGTTTCTTGACTTCCATGATAATTGAAAAAACTTTAGGTTTAACTATTATTATGTTATCCTTTAAAATCTCTTAATTTCTATTAGGAATTAGACCTCTCATTTTGGAGTTCGTCAAAATCAATATATGATATATCATCAAAGCCAGTCAGATTGCCGTGATAAAGTTCTTCAGTTTCTTTCTTAGTTTTAATTTTCTCTTGTGTAGATGTTTAATTCCTGGCAATTTCATTTAATTTTTATGCCAATCTAATGTTCTTTAATTCTAAGGTTTGCATCTTCTCATTTAGATTTGATGATATACCTTCTTCCAAATGAATTCTTAGTATTTTCTAAATCAATTCCTAATTTTGCTTGATTGCCTACTTTACATTATACAATTCTTGATTGAGATTGGTATCTACAAATTCAACGTTACTTTTAATTGATTTATCAATGTATTGATAATTTCTGAATAATTATGTAATTCCTCTTATTTTTTTATCATATAAAATTGTCATGTTTTAAATAAATTCCTACTCTTTTTCAGCTACCAATTATTGATATGTTTCAGGTCCATAATTATTTTGAATGAGATCAAACTGTTGTCCTTTCAAAAATTATAATTAATAATGTACCCCATTGTTTCAAGTACATTCCTAAGGCATTGAGAGCCTCTTAATAAACTATTTTATTCAACTCATCATAATAGAGTTCTTTTTATCTTAATAATTCGGTTGCATTTCTGGAGTATTTTTATTATTGTTGAATAAGAATTTCTAACTTTTCAATTCGAATTACAAAAGCTATTTCAAAACAACTGTGTTTCTTATGATAATCTATTAATTCCTCTAATTCCTCAATCTACCCAATGAATTCTGCCCTCTGTAACAATTTCCCATTCAAATCTTCAATCAGCATTTGAGTCTGATCCTATAAGACTTATTAATCAGATATGGCCTGTCTATACATGGTATTCAAAGAGGGACTAGCAGGCTTTTTGCTTGTGGTTGACAATTATCTCTATTATTATTGGATATTCTATTTATTAATAGTATCATCAAAAATATCACTCAATCGTGAGTTCCTTCTCGATAGATCTCTTGATTTGCATTCAATGTACAATAACGACGGTCTTTTTGATTTATGATTAAACATAATAAACTATTTATTTACAAATTCAAATACAAAATATAAACTGTTATTCCGTAATTTTAAATAAAATTTTGATTTTCTCTATTTTCTCTCACTTTCAACAAAGATTTATAACAAATATTTTGTACAGATATATATGTAAATATAGAAATGTATTTTCACTAAGTGGCTATTTCGTAAATAGAATCTGCGACTGCGACCAAACCTAGAATACAACCTAGAATCATTGAACAAATGTAAATTTGGCCTTCCAATTCTGATGGCTTAAATCGCCAAGTCCATTTCAGATAGAACATTAAAGGAAAAAAAAATTAAAGAACAGCTCCACACAATCCACCAATAAAGGAGATCAAGAGAGCGAATTAAGGAATGGCTATGGCTAATCCTGCAATGGCCAGAACTTGAAGTAATCTTAAGAAAGTTCTTCTCAATAAAAAACCTGAAGTTCCTTCTCGAGTAAAGTGCTTTGCAATTTTAATTCTTTCGATCAAGTGAAAAGCTGGAAGCAACTGCAAAGGCAATGTGATTATTAAAGCGATGGCGTAGAGTATTTGAAATGCTTCAGCACCATTCCCCAAAGAGAACAAGATAATCTCGTTTGTTGTATCTCCATAACTCAACGAACCAAGAAGCCCAAAAATCCAGAATTGCATTGTACAACCAGAGAACACTAAAGTCATGAGTTTGGGGAATTTGGCTGGTTCTTACATGGATTTTCTGACATCCAAGAGTGTTCCAATGGCCTCGAAAGAAAAAAGAGCCACTCCTATAACTAGCGGGAGATTGCTAAATCTAGCAACTGGAATATCATTATAATTAACCTCCTTGACAAGTTCAATGTTAAAGTAAACTATGCAAGCAATGAGTGAAATGATGATAAGACTCTTGATTACTATTATATGTTACATTTGCGATAGTGCTAAATTTAGTGAATAAAGTCATGTTGTTAATGAATACTAGTGGGATGATGATGCACATGGCAATCGACAAATAGATTAGTTGATGAGAGAATATGACATCTTGATGATGGTATATTGCATATTCTAAGAATTCCATAAAAAATAAAACATATGATGCACAACATCCCCATTGCATGACAATTATAAATAATTTGTTTAAGTACACGTAATTCTCACCTAAGATTATGCGAGTGATTTCGGAGAAACCTAAATTGGGTTGATTGATTTCATCCACAATTCTCGGAAGTAACATCTACAAATTAGGTGCATAGATACTAATTGGGAGTAGATCATGAGGATACAGATCAAAAAGTAACAGAAAGAAGTGAGTAAATAGCCTCCTTCACGGAAAGTAAAGGGTGCTGCCAAAATACCTGAGCCTATACAACATTTGTATAAGTTAAGTGCTGCTTAGGAAACAGTAGATTTATTTTCCTTGCTTTTTGAGGTGTTTTCTGCGAACTTGGGGTTGGGAGTGTCGCTGGTATCTAACTCAAGTGGTTATATTGAGGGCAAGTTTTGATTGGTTGATTCACTCATATATTTTATTAATATGCCTCACATTCATTTTTAAATCTAATTTTTAAAAAAATCCAAAGATTTTAATGAAGGTAACTATTGAAACTATTTTATTTAGTTTAACATATCCTACCCCTTGACAGGAGCTCAAAAGACAGTCGAAATTGACGATGACAAGAAATGGTAAGAACATTTTATATATAATTTTTAGCTCAATCTTTTTTGATAAGAGAATGGGTCAAGTTGTTGAAGCTGACAATTTGGGTGAAGAATACAAAGGCTATGTGTTGAAAATCACTGGTGGTAATGACAAATAAGGATTTCCAATGAGACAAGGTGTCTTATTCAAGGGCAGAGTGAGAATTCTCATGAGAAAGGGTCACAAAGGTTACAGACCAAGAAAAGACGGTGAAATGAAGAGAAAATCAATTAGAGGATGCATTGTCGGTTAAGACATTAGAGTCCTTGCCTTATAAGTCGTCAAGAAGGGAGCAAATGAAATTGCTGGACTTACAGATCAAAATGTCCCAAGAAGATTGGGTCCAAAGAGATTGACCAAATTGAGAAGATTATTTGGATTCAAAAAGGCTGACGGTG